TATGTGGCTCCGTGTCTATCACATGCGCGTTCCCGAAGTCGATCCGATGATCAAGTACCTCTCAATATTCCGCGACGGCACTATGCTCGCTATTGAAATTACGCGCATCGTTCTGGTGCATGCGTTCGGGAAAAGATTTAGTTTCACCGATGTAGGCGGTGGGGCACTCTGCACACTGTATCTTATAGACCACGCCTTGTGCTTTCTCCTTTGGAAGGCAATCCTTCGGCCATAGCATCAGCCGTCCTAATGTTGACACTGACTTGTGCGCCACTTGAATCCCTTCTTTTCGGAGCACGCGCGCCAGTGTCTCGCTCGTCCCTTCTAAATAGGGGACACTGATACGTGCAATGGGGTGGGGCTATGTATCTCTCGGCTATCTATGATTATTGCACGTGCAACACTGTCGTCGGGCGACACACTGTACAGAACTGCTTGTGTTGCCGTTTCTTTGGAGGTCAGCAAGGATGGTGCGTTTCTCCTTTCTTCTATCCTTTTCCGACGAGCAGATGGTCATTGCTCTAGACAAGAAAGTAGAGACCACTGATGCCTTGTGACTCGCTGGGTGGTTCAAATCAAAATCGAGGTGGCGTCCGGAGTGTTTTGGCTTCCTTTCGACCGTGAATCTGAGCTTGTTGCCTTGCCTTCTCACCAGAGAATCAAGGAACGGCAAAACTCCATCTCTTTCGCATTCTACAGTGAACTGGATGGCCGGTTCTATGAATATCAGGTGTGCCAAAAAATGGTTCACCTTCGATTTCTTCACGACGCAAAAACAATCATCTACATAGCGGATAAACTCTTTTGGCCTGTTGGCAAAAGTGCTCAGCGCCTTCTGTTCAACCACTTTCATTGTGAGGTTTGCCGTCGTGACAGAAATGGAGGTGCCCATTTCTGTCCCACTGACTTGTTTGAAGAGCTCACCCTTGAAACTGAAGAATGTACTGCCGAGACAGAACTCGAGAAGGCGGCATAGTTCATCCACACTGAGGTTGGTTCTTGAGCCCAATGTTTAGTCTTTCTCGTGGACCTCTCTGGCTGCAGCAACTGCTAAGGGAACTGGCACACTGGTAAAGAATGACACAGCGTCGGAAGACATCATTGTGTCATCATCGCTGAGTTTCACTTGCGAGGCACGTTCCACGAAGTGGCCGGTATTCAGCACATGGGTCGGCGTATTTCCAACAAGGGGAGCTATAGTCCGGTGGAGGTAATTCGATAGCGCTTGGAGTGGTGAAGTCGTAAAGTCTACAATACGTTGTAAGGGGACGTTGGGTTTGTGGGTCTTGGGGGTTCGTAGAAGCTTGGCGCAGAACCATTCCTGTAGATGAGATGCAAGGAAAGGGCTTTCGACTCCGAGTATTGCTTGAAAGTAGAGTGAGCGCAACTCAAACCAGCCAGTTCTCGATCGGCTGTTTTCGGTCGGGAAGAAAACGAATTTCGAGCCGCGAATTGTTTTCTGGGCAGTTGGGCTCACATATATTGTCGCACGCAGGGCTGAGAAAGCAACGCTCGATCACGAACCTCTAGAAAGTTCTCGTTTATTCTTGTTCCAGACGTAACTTCTATCGTTTATCCCTGCTTTAGTTGTTCCAGAAAGTGCGTGTTCATTCTAGCCCGGGCGCGCTACGCTCGAACCTTCTCCGCCGAATCTTCGAGATAGTGACTCACCTTAGATAAGAGGCCGCCAGTTTCGCCCCAGCGTTCAACTCTGCTGCTACGCCGACTTCGACGCCCGCGACGCTCTGTTATTATCTTTTGTACCTTTTTATTTTTGGCACAAGTTCGCCACATTAAACGTTTAATTATTCCTGTTTATTTCTTGTTTATTGGTCACCACCCGTGACAATATATTTTACAAATAAAAACCTTGACGGGCATAAATACCTTGTCAGTGGCCTTCTACGCTTCCGGGGCAGGTTAGCTTCGAGATCAATTGCTTTGTGCCGTTGTCCTCAGTTGCAAGTTTCTTGGGGATGTTATTTTAGTCAAGTTCTACACATATATTTTTAACTGCTGCTGTTTATGCAAGTAATACCTTTTTATCTGTGCCTTTGAAAAGTTTTAGCTTCAGATTTCCGTTTTTTCGTACCATTTTAGAAGCAATAAAGGCCCGTTCACACTCTTGTGACTGCTTGCGACCTCTTAAACCTAGGTTCCTTAAAACTTCTTAAACCAGAGAACACACTGGCGCCAACTATTGGGAAGCAGTGGAAACTCGGCGGTCCGGCATATTTTTTTTTATTTCTCGCGCAATATCCTTTCTTTTTTGGCTCGAAAAGCTTTTGTCAATGTTATAAACGAGCCTTTCAATGGGTATTACGCACATTTGACCTCGGAAATCCCGCAAAACCTTCGCTTTTGTGAAATGCAGTTCTAGGGTCACCGCATAGATGGCGCCACAATGTCAGTGTGTCCCCTCATTCTAGAAACATTTAAGAAGTTGTAAGAGATCTCGTCTCCCTCAGTCGTACTCGGTCGCAAGAGTGTGAACGGGCCTTTAGTCTTTTTATTTTTTTTTGTATGTTTAGTGGGGCCCAAAAAGGTGTGCATCACCAAACTTTGTCCCGAGTTTGCTCCGCCCAAAGGTCTTTTGGCACGGCTTCAACATCCACTTCGAACAGCGTGACAGACAGACAGCAAACGATGCATACCTCACAAAGTTGAGCCACTTCTTTTGTACCAGAAACATACCCTTTTACACCTGGTAACTTGATAATGTACTACTCATTTAGACAATTGCACTTTTAGTTTCCTGAGATATCATCCTTTTAAACCGACTGCGATTTTTATTTTTCCCTGTACCAGATTATTTAGATGAGTGCCTTAGAAAGCTTTTCCCTCCTTTCTCGGCATTAATTTTTTCATTGCAACACAAAGTTTTGCTCTTTGGACCTAGAACTTAGATCTGAATACTTTTTTTCAATGGCTTTATACGTCACGAGTCAGAGTGCAAGATTTCTGGGAAATGTTAACTCTCCATTTTTTTTTTTTTAGTTGGCAATATTTTAAACAGTTTATCTCTGATTAGCAGTAAATAAGTTTCCACATGATACTTTTTTTTTAATGATGCTAAAGTCATAAGATTGATTTTGTTGCTCTCTTGTGTTTGTAGAACGTGCAGCATATTTTGTGCCATAGTTCTTGATGGAGATATTTTTAAAATGTTAGGCAGAAATATTTGTGGTGAACTGGGATTTTGTTTCTTCAACTGCGATAGATCAAAAGCAAATAAGCTCTCCAAAGAGAACACTAGTGCAAAAATGATTGTAATATACTTTCAGTAATGTTTTAGAATATAAAATATTGCCTGCCTAGCGTTTTATGAAAACTTAAGTATGTAATTTCTCAAGTTTATAGGTGAAAAAATCTGGAAAAGTGTGTTGGACGGAAAAAAAAAAGATAGAATTGGACACGTTTTTTAGATTTCCATCCATTCGAGGCATCACCAACAGCTGGCAGGCCCAGATAAATGTAGTTGTGTTAGGCTTGCTTCTAGCTATCAGCGCTGCTCTCTACGCTCGGCAACAGCACAGGCGTAACATTCTATGAAGTCTGCAAACAAAACAAAAAAATTGACATTGGCAATGTGGTAGAAGTCGCCACATGCTTTGAATGTGTACTATCGGGGAAAAATGAAATACGAGCAGAGGAGCGCGTAGCTCTCGGTACAGGCTGTGCCGCCTGGAATTAAGCCTAGGGGCGAGGGTGTGTAGCCTACTCCGATGTGTAGCTCGCAGCTAGAGTGTGCGCTGGCTGAGCGCGCGCTCTAGCTGCTACTAGCGGCAAGCTTCCTTGCGCTGCATGCGTCAAGCGAGCAACGATAGCGGTGATAGCTTTCAGCACACTAAGAGGTGCAATGCCGATGCTTGGAAAGTGCCGAGCGAGGGGCATATACACATCGGAGTAGGCCACACACCCTCGCCCCTAGGCTCACTTCCAGGCGGCGCAGCCTGTACTGCGAGCCACGCGCTCCTCTGTTCGCATTTCACTTTTCCCCGGTAGTACATAGGGATAGCAGCAGCTTCAAATTCCTAAATAGGTGCGTGAACAGGTGCATACATTCTCGATTTTTGGAAGGTATGAAAATGGAGTGCCAATGAAATCAGGTGATCTGGGGGCCCCTAAAGTCGGCTCACATCATCCTTTATCTTCTTTTCTCTTTTTATGTTTTAGTGGCTTAGCACCAAAATGTATCTGATCAGGCAAAAACAGAATCCTGCATTAGAGGACTGCCATTCAAACTTAGCACCGTTCTTTTCTTTTTTTTTTATGCTCATTGACGTAATAAAAGCTAGATATTTAGAAATGTACTAGTCTCGAAATAATGATAATAAATTTATTTGGCTCTGGAGAGCCACGGTTATTTTGTCACTCAGCATAACGAGGTCTCCGTATGCGGCTTTCGAGAGCAGGCAATTTTGATTCTATTTTTTGATGATGAAACAAAATTACCGCAAAAATGGTTTAAAACGCTACCACTTTTTTTAAACTGGTCACTTTCAGTGACCAGTGTTCATCAACTTTGTCTGAGCATCTACCACAAGAGAAAGCCTAGAATTGTCTGCCAGTCTCCCAGGAATTTGGTACAAAAAGCAGCTAAATGTGAGGGAAGCCCGTAGAGATGGATTAACTTGTAGCTTCTTAGATAACCTTTTTCTACACTATAAAATGCCTCCACCTTTGGTTTTGTACTCTACATCTGCCAGACAGTCAGATACTAAAAATGTCAGTGGGTGCTCCAGACACTGTTTATCTCACTTCCAGAAAGGCCATCCCAAGATATACTGGTATAGTAGAACCGGTTTGGTTAAGCCAGGTTTTGCAAGGAAACTTTTCATTATACTGTATTTCGCAAGTATGGTGCCTAGAACGCGTTTTCGACTGGTGTGTTTACCGTATCCAAAAGAGTGGTCCCCCTGTTTCCGCCTGATGACGTCGTAGAATGCTGTCGCCAGTCGCGATCCTAAAAAGGGACGTCGAACGTGCCCTTTTTGCAGAGGCCAAAGGCCTGCGCAGCACTGCCCAGGTGGAGGCCCTCAGGGAGAAGGTTTATGCGGCGCTGGAGGAGCACTGCCGGCAGCAGTACCCAGAGCAGCCGGGCCGCTTTGCCAAGCTGCTGCTGCGGCTGCCTGCACTGCGCAGCATCGGCCTCAAGTGCCTCGAGCACCTGTTCTTCTTCAAGCTCATTGGGGACACCCCCATCGACAACTTCCTCCTCTCCATGCTCGAGGCCCCCTCGGATGCCTGAGGGGACTTGCCCCACCGCCAAGTCTCCTGGGGGGACTTCCCTCGCGCAGAGCTCCCCTCGTCTGTACCATAGCGCGCAAAAAAAAAAAAAATACATCCTTCACAATCCATTGCCTTCGACTCTTTCAAAACGAGGGTCCCTGCAGTGTTCTTGGCCACATTTGCCGATAAACCTCTTAAACGTTAACTCTGGTACATTTTCTCGGTTTCAGGTTACGACTGTTTTTAGTGAAGGAAGTGTCCCTAAACTACAAGGTGTCTTTTTTTTTTTTTTTTCCCCCGTGCCAAGTGTAGTTTTTTAGATACCTTGTCTCAAAATCTTTTTTCGGGGGTCTCCGGCGAAACCAAAACTACCGGCTCGAGCACGATGGCAACACTTGTGAGTGCCGCAGTACTGCAAAACGTACGACTGACCTAGTCACAAGAGCAGTCCTGATCAGTCGGGTAAGATGCTACTGCTGCTCTACTGCTTTGTTTCGTAAATATAAAATATCTGTAGCAATTATTAATACAGATTCATAGTTACAAAACTTGAAAGTATAAAACAGAGAGGACGAGGACGGGAACAGGACATCTTTCATTTAGCAACAACATAGAATGGCACAACGAATAAAACCGCCCCCCAAGGGTCTCAACGTTCTCTAAGAGGGAAAGGAGATTCTAGTTATGAAGGAAAGGGAATACACTAAAAGAAAAGTTTGAAAAGCGCATCAGTAATCTAGTTATTTTCGATTACTTAGAATTAACCTTGGTCATTGTCAGTGATAATGCGGAATTATTCTTGTTTGCAGTCCAAAAAGGGAATTGTACTATAAATATAAAAGTTTAAAAAGCTGTCTCGTCACGACGAGTCATTTGCCATGGGGACTGTTAACAACATTTCTGCACCGTCATTGACAAAGACAGAGGTCGAATTCCTAACACCAAAGATGACTAGAATATTGACACCTCGTCCTGACGCTACAGCTTTTTAAACTTTTATATTTATAGTACAATTCCCTTTTTGGACTGCAAACAAGAATAATTCCGCATTATCACTGACAATGACCAAGGTTAATTCTAAGTAATCGAAAATAACTAGATTACTGATGTGCTTTTCAAACTTTTCTTTTAGTGTATTCCCTTTCCTTCATAACTAGTATCTCCTTTCCCTCTTTGAGAACGTTGAGACCCTTGGGGGGCGGTTTTATTCGTTGTGCAATTCTATGTTGTTGCTAAATGAAAGATGTCCTGTTCCCGTCCTCGTCCTCTCTGTTTTATACTTTCAAGTTTTGTATCTATTAACCAACACGCTCGTTTTCAATTGTAATTCATAAAGTTGCCAGCAAAAAAAGAGTTTGCCACAAATGCAGGTTCTTGCCAGGCTCAAAGCAAGCCCCCCCTTTCTGAGAAGAACAATAGTCTTGGTGGTGTGCAATCCATGTAGCAGAAGCATTGTGAAGCTAATCATAAGCTCGTGCTGAGCAGGAACATACTAAGCTTTGGCCGCTAAGGTCCCTGGATCCTAGGAAAGTAGCGCCAAGCCCCCATATGGCCGTCATTTTGGTTCATGAAATGAGCCGATCTAAATTCGCTGGCGACTGGTAGCTTTATGGACTTTTCTTGAATACAGAGATTTTGTTACCCACACACTGGCAAAACAAGTGCACATCTTTGCATCGCCCCTAGATGCAATGACTGCCTGGCGGCATTGAAAAAAACGTTTTCCGTGTTTGAATATGCAAGGGCAACAATACCATTGTAAGTGGTCTGGGGAGAGAAGCATGATCAATAAGTGGATTGCATGCAGAGACTAAGACTATTATATTAGCGAGGAACGCTATCAGTACGATGGTGTTCCATAGCGATCTTGGTACGACTGGATCTAGCGACTTTAATGATTGCCAGTGAATGCCACCTTTGGCACCATGACTCGGTTCAGCGAGTATGAAGTCAATAATCTGTGTGCAATTGTTGAGAAGCACTTACAAACTACAGCCGCCAAAATATAGAACAAGCAGAAATAATCCGCTGGGACAACTGAAAACTCGGCAGGAACACGTGTAGAAAGAAGTGGCAGTACGAACATGACTTTGATGGGCAAAGTTGCTTGACAAACGGCCAATCCGATAAATGTCCACCGAGAAGCTGGTGGTAGCATTTTTAATATCGATTTTAGAGTGGATCGTGGTTTCCCATTAGTGTAATATTTTGGCAATGCTCGTATTTAATCTCTGTAAATTGATATTGATAATTTATTTTGAGTCGACTTTTGACCGAAGCTTCCCTTCACGGCTAGTTCACACATGCAGCACTGCGTCCTACAGCACTGCATTAACGCTGCACTGTGCGTGTGTTAACTGGCTTTTATTTGGTTCATGCTGCAGTGCTGTACTTCTGCATCTCCCAGTGAGGGCCCCTGCAGGGCACAGGTCGAAACCTGAGTGGTGCGTCGACATTCAGCTAATCGTGGTCGTATTGATTGAAGTTAAGTCTCTGCTGAATCTTGACGGTGCTGGTAATCTACTATGTGCTGATCCATCTCTGCTAAAGCATTCTTTAAATTGTACGGAGCCACCAGCGGAGAAGTTACAATCGTATGTAATGCATATGCCGAGGCTCAATCTAAAATGGGCTTTAGAAATCTGCGCCTGAACGTAGCAGTCTAAACCTTCCATCAGAGGTGTATTTTACAGGTTGGTTTGACCTTGTAAAATTACGAAGCATAGCTCTCTTTTTATATACAAATGGTGCCAAAAATGCGGAAGCATGTAAGCCGGTCGTTTGCTTCCTTTTTCGTCTGCTGCATACTTTTCGTCGCCGGTCAGCGCACGTGCTCCCCTGGTGACCTTGGATGCTCCGTGTTAACGGCGCGCCGATGGACACGCAGTGCCATGGGGTGAGCGGTCATGGAAACCAACGAGCGCAGCGGCCAATGGAACCGAAGGATCAGGGAAACTAGGTGCCGTTTTCGCGCTTCAAACTGATGACGTCGGCTTGCTCCATGGGACAGTTAATGCTTTCGCATTAAAGCCTTGCCAGGGTGAATGGCGGACGGCGAAGCAGACAAGAGTGTCAAATGGCGGGTTTGGTGCACGTATGGATGGACGGTCGGGAACAGCGTCGAAAGGTGTAACCGATCAGCGAAAGAGAGCATCTGCTGCAAGAGCACCGTCATTATGCAACTATGTTTTATTTTTGTTACTTCAAATTTTGCTATCAATGTCTGCATTACAAAAAGATTACGTTCATTTTAATAGACCACGGTCATTGCGGGCAGTCTCAATATATTTTTAAAAGCAAGCTGGGACAAGGAGGTGGCGCCATCTACCAATAAGTACGCTAAACGCAGCCCACCACTCGGCTCTGTCAACTGCATTGCCGTGGACCGTGGCAAGTGTTTTGACCTATTTTTTTTTTTTACAGGAAGGGTCCTGTAATTTTACAAGGTAAAACCCACATCTGAAATATACGCCTTTGATAAAAAATTTAGACTGCTACATGAAGGTGGCAATTTTTACGGCCCATTTTAGACAGAACCTCGTCATTTCGGACAACCTAAACTTGTTCTGTTTACAATGGGATTGGGACATGTTCCCGATTGGCATCCTGCTGTAGATGCTCGAGCAGCTGCTACGGAGTAAATCTGACAAATCGCGGTATCTTTGAGATAAAAACAACTTTCAGTCCTTTTGCTTTTGTAAAACTTGGTTCCAGCAGCAATCAAATTCATAAAATATTTCACTGGTAAAAAAAGTAATTCGTGGTATTACGTCGTGAATAGTTGGGTCACCTATAATCGTATCAAAGAGGAAAAAGTGCCTTTGCATTTCCCTGTACAAACACATTCAGCCATTTCGATTTTTAAGCTAGTGAATGGATCAGAAAACGCCACAGTCCGTGCCCATATTTGCAGCTAGGGGTATGCTCGCTTCACTTAACACCCCACGACAGAATCTTAATAAGTTACTTTATTATTTTTTTTTTTTTTCAAAAGTAGGAGCATTATCTTTTTACGAGACACTGTCCAGCACAAACGGATAAAGAACAAATAAATAGGTGGCACAACACTCGGCAGTTTGTCTGGCTTCCGACGCAGTGTTATTGGTGCAATCGTCGTAATGGGGCAAGCTTCACGGACGAGTCGCAGGTTGGCATCGTTGCACTGGGTATGCACTAGAAGCTTCGTTGAGTGCGACAGGTGAATGGATGCGTCGACATTTGAAACGGCTTGCAAAGCCCCGTTCATATCGCGTTGGGCAGTCTGGCAGCCGACACCCTGAGGTAGGAACACCAGTCGTGGGCGGAGCAGCCCCCGCTGCCTGGACGGAACTTGTAGCGGCTTCCCCTGGCAGGATCGAGCAGTTGGAAGGAGTCCGCGTCTTCGGCGCATGGCACCACCAGCCAGCCAGCCACGCTGCTCTGCTTGCAGGGCTGGCGCTTGAACTGCACGCAATGCTCCTATTACGTAACACCAAACTGCAGTGGGTACAAAAAACAACCCTCCAAAATGAGAAAGATTTGGTCCATGTAGCATGTAATGTGGAAGTCATCTTCGATCTGTACAGAGTAGAAAGAAATCGGTAGCTTAGCCAGTTGACAAAAGTGGTGCATTCGAGGTGTGGTCATCTAACCTTGACGAAGACAAGTGCCACCCCACCCGACAATTGATTTTTGTGGAACTGCGGGCATGCCTGTTGCCTCCATGAGTTTGTACTGTAAATGCTCTGGTACTACTGGTAATTTAGTTTTCACAAATATAGTGGATTGCATGAAAATCAATATAGCCATCACCAACAAGACGACACCAGCAGGATGTTCTCAGGTTGTCACCTTCTGCTGCGCTTTGCCTGCGCATACATGCTCGAGGCACATGAGACATTGCAGCATTATCGACGCAGGAAGCTCGTGCTGTAGGCAGTACGTACAACTGAAGTAATTCTTTAACGTTGTCACTCTGACAGCGACCACCACGAGACGAAAAAGAGGCTCAAGCACTTACGTCCGAGCGCTCCTTGGCCCTGAGGGACTTTGGTGAGTAGAACATGAGGCTGGTGCCCCTGAGCTCGACCCAGTAGCGGAGCCAAGACGAAACGGCGGGCCGCCTGCCCTCCTTGAGCACGGTCTTGCGCCTCAGGCAGCCCTGGCACACCACCGGCTGCCCACAGTCCTCTTCCCAACTGCGGGTGCGGTACTCGTTGGTGCATGCGCTCGTTATCCGCTCGGAAGAGAAACTTATCCACCCATGTGGATACTGCTCACCTATGCTCGTATTCACTTCGAGAATCTTGGTAAAACAAAGTCTGGCTCCTAAAGTGAAGCAGAAGTTTGTCCGCTTCTTGCACAGAAATTGCAACGATGGCCAATTGAAAAAAAATTCCAGGTAGACTGAGCCATCTAGCAGGGAGGTCTACCCACTATCTTTTCAATCAAAGCATTACTCCATTATATGGAGCATTACTCCATTTATTTGGTGAATTATACTCTGTTTTGTGATAACTTGGTGAACTGTGGCGTCTAGGGCCCCGCGACCCAGTAAGAGCGTCAGAGCGAGACACGTGACCCAACGTCACGGGAGCATCTGTGTCACTACGCCAAATGCAAGGCGAGAGGCCAGGAGGACCCGGCTGTCATCTGCTAGCTAAAAGTCGTCTGCTCAGAAACCAACCAACTTCAGGTGAACGTCGACCGCAGCGACATTTCCGTCAGCTAGAATAGCGCACACTTCATGAACAGCTCATGAGACAACCATACGCTCAACTTGGCCGCCAATTTATGACATGTGCTAATGCCAGGTACAGTGCAATGTTTTGAGCGGAAACGGCCAACTACACGGCTGCAATCGCCAGCGATCGCCACCGGCCACGGCGCTACAAGGAGAAAAAAATCGGGAGCGGATACGGATGTTGTTTTACTTTTTTGGTTTAATATAATTGAAACTCATAAATTTGTGATTATTTATTCCTTATTCTTCATAGCCTCTTGTTAGAGATGGAATCGTGCGATTTCATTGCCGTTAAAAGAAAAAAAAGCTTAGAACTACTTTCTGTCGCGGACAGTGCTATTTATTGCTGTGGCAGTAACGAGGTCTCTGTGACCTCACACGGAGTGTTAGCATGTGCCTTGCTTTGGCGCTCTTATTGGGTCCCGGGAGCCGCAGCCTCCATAGTTTGCCAAGTTATCATGAAACAAAGTACACGGTATATGTAGGTGCGTCTTAGAATAGCTATATAAGTTATTTTACTCGTACCTACACGTTTCAAATGCGAAAAGCATTGTTTCTTCCCCCGGCAACCAGGTCTTGTATGAGCTTTGCGCGGCGTATGAACAATGAACAAAACATGCTTTTTTCTCCATCTGACAATGAGTATAGGCAGGTACACTGCACGACACTGCTAGTTCAAACACGACGTTGGCTCTGTTTCACACTTTAATCCGAAACGGTGTTGGTGGGCACCAAACTTTACTGCTTAGTTTTGGGCCTCAAGTGAGCACTTCCCATCACAGTAATTATGATGACAGCGTTCTCATTCTTAAAAAGAAAAAGTTATGTTCGCACAGTGTATATGACATCTTTACCCACCACCCACCCATGTGGTGCGTTACTGACCCACTGGACGCGTTGCGCATACACATGAACACTCGTCCACCCAGATAGTGTGCTATCAGCGACTATATCGCATATTCATGCACGCACCGTTCAACCATAGTACTAGTACATCATTTACCCACACCGGCACACTACCCGCACGGCAAACTGTACAGTAGTGTAAGCTACCCATGCATGTGGACATCTTGCACATTTCCGTCGACACGAGTATGTCATCCGCGCACAAAAATGCACAATAGCTCTCAAAGTGACGTCTAGGTTAGGGTGTCTTCACAAGCACTTTGCTTAGGGTGGTGACATCTGGTCATTTTGTTTTGAACGAAGCACTTTGGCCTAGGCACACTGTATCTGGTGAGCCGGCGCGAGCGTGGAGGTGCCAAAACCGCAAGCTCGGATGGGGCAGACATACCCCGACCCCAGTGGGGTCCCTCCGGGAGGCTCCCAGAGCTCCAGGGAGCGAACCTGGCCCACCCCGGACCACCCGATGGTCTGGAACGGGGCGTCCCCGTGGGGGCCGACCGCCAAGGTGGGCGGGTGCTCCGGCACGCTGTCGTCGATGAGCAGCCTGGTCCGATGCTCCGCAGACGGTGCCGCCGCCTGCCCGCTGTGGCAAGGCAGGGCGCGCTCTAGTGCGGGCACGGGGTTTCCGTGCCGGAACGCGTCTTACTTGGATGCCAGCAGGGGTCCGCTTGTGAAGACGCTGCACACAGAAGAGAAAAAAGAGGAGGCCTCCAAAAGTGCACTCAAACACACAGGTGAGGTTTTGACTCTGTCTACGTGCGGCAGCAAGTTTTACAAGATGCGATTTTCACGAGTCTTTGATTTACTTTGAAGTTCATGAGAGCTGCCAGGAGACGATAAGAGGTGGGCTTAGCAGGATTTCGAACTTGTCTAAAATAGCGTTAGCAAAATACGTCTACGAATCGCGGCTTTACTGCATCTTATATCAAACCTCAATATCTGACTGATGATGTCGCAACTCTGACGCTGCTAAATGCAAATTTGAAAGCTTTACGTGCCAAGCCATGGAGGTAGAAAGCTTCTGGGGAGACACATGACGTCACCTGAAGTGTGGATGGAGTGACATGCCCCCAATGATGACCAATACCAAGAGACACTATTGGACAAAAAGGAGAGCCGACTTACAGCTGTTTTGGTCACCGTCGGTGGGCCGCAAGGGTGGTCAAAACAGCTGTAAGTCAGCTCTCCCTTTCGTCCAATAGCGTCTCTTGGTTTTGGTGATCATTGGGGGCGTGTCACACCACACTTCAGGCTTCATCTAAGGTGGCGTCATGTCGCCTCCAGAAGCTTCCTACCTCCATGTACTAAAGCAACGAAGGGCACCTGATATGCCCCAGAGGATGACTAGCTTCAACAACCTGGGTGTCTTTGAATGTCCAATCGAAATCTCGTTTAAGCAATGCCTTTTCCGCAAAGAAGCCTCTGTAGCATTACGGACACCTCGACCGGGATTTCAACTGGCCAACCGGGGATTTGTAGGCTGGTGCTTTGCTTCGAAGACACCAAGGCAGCTAGTGTAATGCCGCTGTTGGTTGCGATCCCGGCAACGGTACGAGAGTGTAGATGGCTGCTACGGACGTCTATTTTGCTTTAGCTTGCCCCGCAGCCGTCCAGCCAATGGTAACTACAACAACCACGGGTCGGTACGCCATGCCGAAGGTGACGGCTGTGCCCACTCATCTCTTCTTCGCCAGCGATTTTTTAGCCAGACGCCAGGATCACCGCAACGCATAGTATTACACGGCAGCTCCCGCGACACATTTTGATGCCGCTTTGGGGACACTCCATGATGGGTGGTGACATAAGGACGCTAAAGATACCAGGTGATGTCTTTTGGACATTTATGGTCTGGAGTGATAGGTGTCCCCTATTTGTCATTGTTTGGTAAAGAAACAAATGCCTAAACAATTAAAAATAGAGGTTCTTACACTCCGTTTCAAACATAGCGTGCAACGTAGTCAAAGCTAGCGCGCCGGTTTGCACAGCCGACCGCGACTACGTTCGCTCCACAAAATAGTACGGCCCCTGAAAAAAAAAAAAAAAGTCGAAAAGTGTACATCTTTGTAGCTAGTAACTAATAGTGGCGTTATGATTTCGAGGGAACACCGATTCTTTTTCAATAAAAAGGAAAAGATAATGTAAACTACTCCAAATTATTTTCCGTTTTCGTTCGTGCGGCACTCATCGAGTTATTATAATGTACGCTAGAGGTTCAACTGGCGCTAGTGTCTATGCGACTTCCGTGACGCAAATTGAAGCAGACAGCAACCAGTCTACTTTTGCGGTGCTCCTGTGCATTCCTATGGGAAAACGGGCGTGCATTTTGTCTCTTCGCCCTAAAATAACATGAAACACTTTGGTTATTTCGGTCGTACCGAATAGTATGTGTCTTAATTAACATTGTAAAAGTGTAATTGCTTTAGTTAGGGAATTTTTCTTCATCAGTGAGCGATGTTGAACTTCGCTGCATTTCAGTCCCAAACGTGTGTTCCGCAGCAGGTGTGTAAAAACAAGCGACGAGTCAAAGCAAAATTACGATCGAAACGAATATAGAGTGTGTTCAAGGCTCGCCAGCATTCCGGTGACGCTTGTCTATTGATAATATGCCAGTCCTGTCACCATATGAAAATGATCCCGTCGTGCATGAGCGCATAAAAACCTTCAACGTAGAGAATAAAGTCCGTGGGATATGAAAGGTGTCTCTTCGTATCGTTTTCTCTGCCGGGCAGCTTTTATTGCGCACTTGTTCTCAACGATGTCTAGCACGCGGGTGATATTTTGAACGTAGAACACGCAGCTTCGCTCAGGACAGAAAGAATAAAGCGGTACTCACTTATTTAAAATCGGAATAGATTACGTGGCCTTCAATTTATTTTGATCGTACATGCGCTGCGAGTTACTGATCCGGTGTTGCTGCGTAGTTCTTGCCGCCGCTCTTGATTTTCCAGATGTCCTTCGTTCGTTTGGCATGTATATCCCCCATGCTCGAAATCGCCGACGCCGCGTTCGCGCTAACAGTGTCCGACAGTGCACATAAATACACGTACGAAGCCGTTTTAGCACCGTTTTAGTGCGATGAATTCGAGAGAAAAACGCCGTAACTGACCAATTCTTTCGTCGGCCTGACTGAGAAATGTTCCAAACTACCTAGTACGTACGAATTATTTGGGATATTTGCTCTTATGATCGAGCGCAGGGAGAAAATGCACTCACTTTTTCCCATAGAAATGCATTACCGGAAGTCAATTTTCGACTGGTTGCTGTCTGCTTCAATTTGCGTCAGCACACTAGCGCCACTTGAACCTCTAGCGTACATTATAATAACTCTATGGCGGCACTCGCACTCGCTTCGGGTTTTCGGGTTGTGCGGCTGCCCCTGCCTCGCCGGTTTCGTGAAGATGGCGTCTTACGCGGGAAGCTTTCTTTAAAATTAACTGTTGGGCTAGTTGGTTACACATTGTATAAAAATTCAAAAGCGCAAACACCAAGGAAAAGAAGAGGGGACAGGACAGAGCGCTTACTCCAACTGGTAGTTTAATGCATTCCCCGAGGAAGACATAAAAGAAGAATTAGGTATGTGAAGGTAAAAAAGAAGAAGAAGAAAAATTATTGTTATAGTTTATAGACGCATTTAAAAAAATTTAAACTAAATCTTACCCCTTGACACTAGCGAAAAAATTTAATAAAAATTCAGAAATATATACAAAATCAGTAGGGCAAAGATAAGGTTAGAAAACACTAAAATGACCCGCGTTAAGGAAAAAGGTCGAGGTATCTCATCTCTTTCTCGGACAGCGCTATTGATGGTGCGCTTATGCAAGCTCCCCCGAGAGACAATATGGTTTTCGCTTCATAGAGTTCTCGGGATCTTTTTCTATGGTAATGCTTGAGGATCTTAGTCTGTTGGAATATGGGTGTGCAGTGGCAGTCACGGACATGTATGGCGAGATGTCCCGATGGTGATGATTTCAGAGAAAGGTGATGCTCTCGAAGTCTCACGTTCACACAGCGCCCAGATTGTCCGACGTAGACTTTTCCACATGTGAATGGAATTTCGTAGACTACGTTGATGTTGCAGTTGACGTACTTGTGCGTATGCTTGACGGTGCAGTTGTTGTTATTTTCATTTTGCGAATTAATCTTAGGACACAATTTTTTTAGTTTGTTTGGAGCTGAAAGTACCACTGGTACTTCATACTTTGAGCCTATCCGTTTGAAGTTGTGTGATATCTTGTGGAAGTAGGGTATCACTGCCGGTCGCGTTTTCTTGCAATTTCGTTGTCCTCTTCCTTTGGGAGTTGTCAGACATTCTGCTACATCAAACAATAATGAATTGGTGTATCCAGAATCCTGCAGCCTCTGCACTTGTGCTTCGAAACTGCGCTTAGCCGTGTGTTCACAGGACTTGTGCAGGGCCGCTTTGAAGCAACTCTGCACTATTCCTCTTTTGATGATCTTGGAGTGGGCAGAATCAAAAGGTAGGAGTCTTTTTTTGGACCGTGGTGCATAAGTCCAGCAAGTGTGCGATTTTTCAAAGGACAGTTGTAAATCTAAAAATTGAAGCTTGCTATTAGTAGGTAACTCATGTGTGAATTTGAGTCCTTGAGCTTGTGTCATGAAAGTGTTGCTTATGATGTTGAATGTAGCACAATCATATTGGTCAGGTCCGATGGAAAGTAAAACGAGATAGTCATCGACGTATCTAAAGATACGTGTTACAAGGTTTGTGGGAAGGCTCTGGGCTATTGCCCTGTCACAGGTGGAAAGAAAAATGTCGCATAAGACAGGTGCTACACAGGAGCCAATGCAAATTCCTTTCTTTTGGATGTAAGTACTGCCGCTAAAAGTTACAAAGGTAGATGTGAGGTAGAACCTAAGGAGTTCCATGAAAGATTCGGATGGTATGCCACATTGATTTTGAAATGACACAGTTCCATTAGCCTCTATGCAATCGCTGACTGCTTCAAACATTCTTGCGTGAGGGACCGAGTAGAACAAGTCCTCCACATCAAGGGAGAGTCCAAACTTTACTGTTGAAGCACTTGATTTAAGGTAGTCTATCAGAGATTCTGAGTTTGGAATTAGAAAAGGGTCATAGATGTTGAGGCTGTTCAGGTGGCGTAAAAGAAATTGGGACATAGCTCCCTGCCAAGATCCTCGTTCAGTTACTATTACACGAAAAGGGCAACCCTCTTTGTGAGTTTTGGCGGTGAAAAACATTTATAATTGATCACTTTTAGCAGTGTTTATCTGTTTTCTCAATTGGCTTAGATCTAGCCTGCTGCACAGCTGGAGTGCTTTTGCCCTCACTTTTTTTGGATTGAACCTCTCCAAGCAATTAAAATTCTTGTCTATGGAGAACTGGGCTTTATCAAGGTAAATCTCTCTGGTCGTCACAACAAAACCCCCTTCCTTGTCCGATATTAGAAGATTTAAATTTCTTTCTCGAAAGTGATTGACTATACGAGTGAAATGTATCTTCCTGTCGCTTTGAGGGCCAGTTTTTAGTAGTATTTCCATACAGTCAGAAACGCAACTCTGTCGGTTTTCTTCCCGAGCTTTAGAAGCGATATCATGGACGTTTGACACCATATGTATTCCTTGCTGTTGGGGCTCAGTACAAAATTTCGGTCCTTTTTCAAGAACACCTCGTATATCATCCGGAAGGGGCTCGCAGCCTAAGAGCGTAACGGACTCGCCTTTCCGCTGCGTCCTAGATGAACGTAGGTATTTCAGATGAGGGATGTAAGAGCCCCAAAGGAATTCAGTCTTTTGGCTGGCTGTAGTCAGGAAGAACCTGTATCTGGTGACGTGTCCATCATTGGGGATGCCGATGCCGGCAAGGGCGCTGAGACAGGTCCTGTCCCCTCTTCTTTTCCTTGGTGTTTGCGCTTTTGAATTTTTATACAAAGCTTTCTTTTCCTGCTCGGATATTTTCGAAGATTCGTTGTGTGAAGATCTCGCAAAAGTGCAAGCAGGTGATCGCCAACGTGTACGCGAGTTCAAGAACGTGTTTCCCGGAGACGTCGGTCCGTGAGGTCCTGGATCAGTAACGACACCGGAGTGTCTGGCAAGGTGGCGTCCCCGAAGCGAAGACCTCGCAACGTGAAAGTTCCGAGCACGCGGACAGTATTGTGAACTGCCACCTGTTGTTTCTGGTGTTGAAATCGGTCTTATGGCTTCAAAGTGAAACAAGCGTCAAGAAAGAACTGTGTCGGTGATGAATCGTGCCTACGGCTCCGTCTGCTTGCGGGACCTTACAGCAGGCGGTGCCCGTGATTGCATTCCGAAGCTTCTGGGTTCTTCTGCCTGCAGGACCGTAACCATGGTCGGCTCCGTCTGCCTGAGGCACCTTAACCTTGGTCGGCTAAGTAAACGACGCACATGCCCGTGTCTGTATTCCGAGGCCCCTGCTTTCCTCGAAAAGGAAACAACACTCGATCCTGATCTCGAGTGCCGTGTGTTGTGTACGGGGCGCCGGCACCAGAGCGCCGAGATACTGCCGTCTGGATGACTTCTTCCATACACCGGCGAGTATTCTGACTCTGAAGGAAACTTCCATGAAGTCACATCACGTGAGGGAATGCCAAGCCGTCTGAACAATGGCAGTGCGGTCCCCTAATCACAATATTCGTTATATAAAGGACCGTCCACCACACTCTCAAGGTACTCTCTGATTTTCACGCTACCATGTAAATAAACGGCTTTAAATAGAGACGCCCTGGATCTCGACCGTTCTTCCGTTTTGACGAGGCCGGCGCAAGTTCGAGCGGAACACCAGCCCCTAGTCTACCTTCTTATAAATAAAATCAACAAGAAAAGAGGAATTGAAATATGCACTTCCGCAATACGCACAATCTTGCACAAAAAATCGGTCGAGAAAAAAAAAACAAAAAAAACAACTTTGCGCTCTAAGTGGATTCGAACCATCGCCACCGAGATGTCGGAATCGCAAGAGCAGCGCCTTGTACCGCTCGTCCACGAAATCTCGCGGAGTAACACAATTTTGTGTGTTTTTTCATGCGCACTACTTCAGTAGCTTTCCCAGCGTTGCACGCGATGTTTGAAACGGAGTATAGATTCATAAAAGTATAAACTTAGAAGGACACCCAGCAATAAAAAAAATAAAAAAAGACAAACCCATTTTTAACCCCTTGTCGGCTTGGAAAGAAAGAAAGTTTTGCACATAATCTGCACGCCGCGTAAAATACTTCCAAAAGTTTGTTGTCAAAAAAAAAAAAGAAATATGCATTTTGCATTTGAAATGTGTACTTTTTGATCAAAGAACAAGTAACTGATCCTAAGCACACATACAAGTATCTTTATCCATCGCATAATTTGGAAAAAATAACACCCTGCAAGGAGCCAAACATTCTTTTACTACGGTCCTTGAGGTGGAAACGAGTATATATAAACCTATAGTTAAATGTGCACACTGAAAATCTTTTAAGGCATTCATGCCCTACCTATTTATACACTGTTTAGGGGTTAAAAGTGCTAAAAACGACGGACGAGTGGGAGAGACACACACCACAGAGCGCTCTGTGGTGTGTGTCTCTCCTACTCGTCCGTCGTTTTTAGAGAGCGCTCTGTGGTGTGTGTCTCTCCTACTCGTCCGTCGTTTTTAGCGCTTTTAAACCCTAGCGCTCTGTGGTGTGTGTCTCTCCTACTCGTCCGTCGTTTTTAGCGCTTTTAACCCCTAGCGCTCTGTGGTGTGTGTCTCTCCTACTCGTCCGTCGTTTTTAGAGAGCGCTCTGTGGTGTGTGTCTCTCCTACTCGTCCGTCGTTTTTAGCGCTTTTAACCCCTAGCGCTCTGTGGTGTGTGTCTCTCCTACTCGTCCGTCGTTTTTAGCGCTTTTAACCCCTAGCACTCTGTGGTGTGTGTCTCTCCTACTCGTCCGTCGTTTTTAGCGCTTTTAACCCCTAAACATGTTCAACCAACTAGCCCGAATCCAAACCCTTCTGCTATTTATACGCTAATGAAAAATATTGGCACACTGAATCGAGAAGGTGACTCTTTCTGGTTGACGAATTGACGGCAACATAAAACGACTGGACGAGCGTGTCGTCAGTCTCCCCCGCCGTGAGAGAAGGGTGCCAAACTCACTTGGTGCCCAGGCTGCGTGCCTTGCGGTGTCCGGGGGTGAAGCGGGGCTGGGGCCACGGTAGGCTCAGGCCGGCCGCCGAAGCTCCAGGCTCGGGAACCGGAAGGAGGGTCAGGCTGGCCTGACGTCCCGGTGGCTCCAGTCGCAGGGACTCTCTGCAGTACACACACAACGCACGAGTAACGCAGAGCACGACGCTGCTAGCACGGAGATGCTAGAGTCCCTGAATGTTTCTAGAGTAGTGCATTTGATAGCGTCCGCTGCGACTGTTCTATTTTAGCTTTGATCGGCCATGTTGGCACCAAAATGTATAGTTTGTGGAAGGGGTTTCGGGGATGTCGAACCCCGTGTTCCAAGCGGACGTGCCGCAAATTAATTACCGAAGTTAGGATGTGCCCAGGTTGGGACGTGCTACCTGAAATCACCGGTGAGACATGGTTGTCTAAAAGCAATGTTAATGTGTCGCAAAACCTTGTAAACTAAAATTTTATGAAAACATAACGTGCCTGTCATTCTGTACTAACCTTCAATAAAGGTTCCTACAAAAAGAACTTTTTCCATTGGTTTTTACAGAAAAAACGTGCTTTCTAAATGCTCATGGTGACCACAATAAAAAAAAAGAAAGATTGAGCCGCCATCGTGGCGCCATCCAGCTTGGGAGCCTAGGAGTTTCAGGTACTCTGGGAACATTCAGTGACTCTAGGACAGGGGTCTCAAACATGCGGCCTTTGGGCCGCATGCGGCCCACAGGCAACTGGCTACGAGTCCTGGTTCCCATGTCTCGAGCGCTAAAAATGGCATGTGCCATAGTGATCTCATCTCGCTGATTCATTTTCGCTCGAAAGGCAGCTCTGCTCCTTTAACATAGGCACATAGTTTACACTTATCTGTGTTCATTTTCCCTTTGTTTCGCTTTATTTTTTGCCTCCCAGCTTTTTGTAACATACAACAATTTTGCCACTAGGTTGCAAGTGCCAGCTGTTTGTTAAAGGATGCATCTTGGCTGCGAGAACTCTTAATCAGCAGCAGCAACTGCCAAAGATAAAGCTACGAGCTTGAGATTCTTGCCTTAAAAAAAATATTGCCATTAAATGACAAGTACTTGTTAAGAGTGTTGTAATAAAAATCGTCAGGAAAGCAAGGACTGCCAAATTAACTGATTGTTTTTTTTAGAGATATGTTGAGCTTGGTTAATTCCTGAGTGAATTGAGCAACGGGAACGACAGTGTACCTGCTCTCTTGTTCTATTAAAAATGCCAGCACGTTGGAGGGGCCCTGTCATTTTAATTCTTGTTATCAGATCAAGTCAGGGCCAAAACAGACAACCAATAAAGTCCAAAGATGTCACTGGAAAAACTAAGTTTACAAATAGCATAGAGCATGAGATCTGTCTTTAAAATCTTTCGAAACCTCCCCCTTGTCTTACGTTGGCTGGCCTCAAACTTTTCCGTTGCGGGCCATCTGGCCCCCCTACTCAAATGAGCTATAAACCACAGCTCTAGGACAAGCAACTGTCTGTTCATTTCTTTTTAATGCGAAAGCATTAACTGGGTCCCATGGAGCGAAGCCGGTGTTGTCTGTAGCAGCAAAGCGAGCCATAAATTCCCATTGGCTGCAACGCGTTGTGTGGCTTCAAAGCAACGGCGTCATCGTTGCTAAAGAGCCAGCCGAACTGCTGGCGGTGCAGCGGGAAGGGGTGAAGCAGGCATGTGCTGACCTGACGTTAGGCCTATCATTCCGCTTTGAGGTCTATTGTCGGCAACTGGTATGCACAGCTGTTTGACGTGAGGAGGGGACGCAAGTATGCCCCCCCCCGCTTCACGTCATCAAGCACGCGCCGCTCAATTGTATGCTCAAGGACGACGCCGTCCTTGAGGTCGTTCTAGAGGTTGTCCTAGACGTCGTCCTCTAGGCGTCATTCGCAATGACATCCTTGAGGTTGTCCTAGAAGTCGTCCTAGATGTCATTCTTGATGGCGTCTTAGAGGTCGTCCTAGACATCGTCCCCTAGGTATCGTCCTAGACGTCGCCCTCAGAGTGTCGTTCTCGACGCAGTCCTAGAGGTCGTTTTAGACGTCGTCCTCGGCGTTGTCCTAGATGCCGTACTTGGTGTTGATTTCTAGGATGTGGTCCTAAACTTTAATATGTGTAGAAACATTACTCAAAAACATTTCACCCACAAAACTATAATGCTTTCGCCTTCCTACATGTAAGCAGTCTTAAGTGCAGTGATGTGATTGGCCTAAGCAGTAGTGGAGCACCTTTTGGAGCAGCCAAAACAGTGTTTTGGAGCAGCAAAAGTGGCTTTTGGAGCAGATATTCTTAGAAAAAAAAAAAAACTGTTTCAAGTGCTGGACAAACCAAGAACACTTTGCTTACCGCAATAAACAAATTATAGTCAAGTTAGACCACCTGGGAGTCTTTCAACACGTAACTGAAATGCCAATGACATGAGACATTTTGCAATGCTTCAGTTAAATGATATGTATATATGTACCTGCTATAGGTAAATAAGAACCAAAGTGCACTTATTAAAATTTATTTGAAAATGACCAGCTCAGTATAAATAGCACAGCATTAGGTTGACTAGTGATAAAATAAATGAAAGCAGTCTCCAACTGATAAAACACATGACGTAACTACTGCAGTGCAATGCGAAATTGTCGCACGAGCGGAGATGGCTGTTCGATCGAAACCATGCCATTCCGCTCCGTCGCCAACTGGTTCCCAAAATTGTATGCAAAATGTAACTGTCCAGCATACAAAAAAAAACAAAAAAACAACAGTCCAGCGGCACGTGCTTGCCAGGCCGGCAGGCGAGGTACCTGCTAAACACGCAGAAAAAAAAAAAAGAAAAGTACTTGAGCACATTTATGCAAGACACCACGAGCCAAGGTCAAAAAGTTCTTGGAGCGCTTTGTGCAACGACTGAACTCGAGACAAACAAGCGCGCTGTGCGGGTTGAGCGTGCAGACATTGCCTTCTTTTCTTTGACTCACTTCCCTTCACCAACTTTCTTTTGCGGCAGATTTTTCACAGGGTCCCTATCGAAAGAAAGCCCACCGAGAGAAACTATAGGTAATCAATACTTCGACACAGAAGTCTTTGAGCTAAAAAAAGATTTTTGTAGTAGCGTATTAAACAAGAACAGGAATGTTGATGAACATGCGGCGGTATTTAGTTTCGTTTTGGAAAGCGCCATATCTACAGCGACGTGGGGACGGCAACACCCGACGTCGCGCGACCACGGTGACTGGCAGGCAGGGACCAAATATAGTTTCCCATGGCCGTTGCTTTCAGGAGCGAGTGCTTCAGCTCACAAAGGAACTGCCGCCGCGCAAAAATGTGGTTTCGTTTCATAGCATGACGACATGGCTGGTACCCCAGCACGTTAGCGTCGGAGCGCCGCACACGTCCGCGTTTATTGTGAAAAAGAAAAAAAAATAATAAAAAAATTTAAAAACGCGAGACGATGAGGACGCGGAATGAGACATGACGAAACCATGCAAGACCGGAAGAACAATTGATGCAGAGTACTTTGTGTCAGGCGGCTGCTTGCGCCACCTAGCTCACTGCGTGCTCAATAGACTACTTCCATAAATCCTTGCATGCAACACGGCACGCGTTGCGCTCTGGGAACTAGTTGGCCAGGGAGGAGAGTGGCATGGTTTCGGTTTCGATCGACACATCGAAAGAGATCATACACAGAGCGTGAACTATTAACGGCCGTTATCTCATGCTTTCTCGTCTCGAGAGCGTCATTTGTGGTCTCTAAACTAACCTAAATGGCCAGACCTCGAAGCTTTAGCACAAGCTCGAGACGTATAGCTTGTCTTAATGCACGCTTGTTGTATTTTTGTACTTGAGCCTTTCTGTTAGCGTTTCGAGGTATGTGGACGAGCGAGTGCTGGGAATCTCGACGCTGCGAAGCTCGGGGATCTTGCTTGTGTACGAATCAGCAAGCTGTAGCAACCAATAAGTTTGCATACATCGAGCTTGTGCCTTTACATTATTGTTGTTAATCAGGAAGTTTTTTTTCGTACGTCCATAGACGAAATATAACTTTCTGCAATTACTGTTTTTCTTAATACGCCTGAGTATGCGAGGTAAAACTCGGAGTCGCCATTGAAAAGCACCATTTCAACACACTTCTCATCTCTTATCTGTACTGCCCTGCAGCACTGCACGAAGTGAAGTGCCCACCCGTTTGCATTCCACTTATATTCAACATCGCGTATGCCCATAAAATTATTTTGCAATCATATAGGCCCATTCACACATACAAACCGTTTTTAGAAAGGAAAAGTCGAGCACTTGTGTGAAGAATGTCGCACCGTTCGCCGGAAGTGCGCCGGACGGGCATGATCGAACCCCTATGCGGTGTGCCAAACGAACGAAATTATTCAAAGCGCATATGACGGTTGCTAATGGCTATAATATTTGTTATGTGTTTGCTTGCTTTATGACTGATTATGCCGAGATAATTTCAGACACACCGTTCAGGGACAGATCTTGGACGCCAGGAAAAGCTTGTCCAAAAGGCTTAGCGAGGAGTAGGGGACGCTTGTTAGGGCCTCCGTCGTAGCTAGCCTATCTCAGTGTTTGCGAAAACTTAATCTTCTATGAGCATAAAATTTGAGTGTGAGATATGTGATGACACGAGGAAGACATCATAGTAACTTTTGTACAGTAGTGAGGTCGAATTTATTGCGTTTCCTTAAACGTTCATCCGCCAACGCTGGGCTCAACTTTGATAATCCTGTGAGGATGCGGCTTGCTTTTCGCCCAATGAAGTATCAAGAAGCGGACGTTTGGTAGACAAAAATATGTGTAGGGCTCAAGGTGACCAAATTTCAGTCGTAGTTCACTGGTACTAGACGGGATTACTGACATTGAGCTCAAAGATGCACTCGTGGGGAGAGGTGACTAAGCCACGTCTTACTACGTTTGCATATGCACGCACAATATCTGATGTTTCGGGAACCAAGGAAAGTGCCCCGGTCTTCGTTTTGTATCGCTCAAGTATGAGTGTATTGTACATTCGTAAAAAAGTCAGATAATCGAAAACGCAAGCAGCACGTTCGGTCGCGGCGTGATAGCATGAGATGAACCTGCTCAGTCGAAACCGAAACTCAGTGGCCAACTAGTTCCCAGAGTGCACTGCGTGGTATTTCGCCGTGATGGGGCGCGTCGGTTTTGGAAGAAGTCTATTACGGGACTCAGTGTAGTTTCGGTTTAGAAAGGCAACCAAAATTGGTCCTTTGGCGCAGGCTTGGCGCAGATTACCCATATCTTGGTAAAATGCAGCAGGATGTAGCAGGGTTAGCCGCTCGGCGCAGTTTGGCGCAATTGGCGCAGCAATCACATCACTGTAAGTGCCCACCTGTAAATTTTTTTCACAGCAAGGGGGCTGTGCTTGGGACTTCTTACTATACTCTTTTTTTGCCATGACTTTGCAAACAACAAAAACTACTGCTCAAGGCACGTGAGAATGTATCGCTGGAGTGCACTCCCACAAAGAACTTTCATGCACTTCGCTTCATCCCTCCGATTGGCTCGAGTGAGCTGTGGCATTTGCTTTCCACCAGGTCATGTGGAAACGAAGTAGGGAAAATACGAAAGCTGTAGAATTCGAGGACTCACGCCGACCTCTATAGTAAAATGAGAAAAAGCGCCAATGCTGTGTTTGTCCTAGTCACATAGTGCAGTGTGCATTCACTGGGAATGCCAAAGGAAACATGAGACAATACCTCACTCATACATTACAAACTGCTTGCGAGCATAGTATAGCACGTAAGGCCAGGTGCTTAATCTCCACTGTGCAATTTTGAGGAGAAAAGTAAACTAGTTCTGGCATTCTTTCCTTTGGAAACCTTGTGGATATGAAGGGAGGACAGCGAAGCTTGAGGAAGTGCACAGAGCTCTCGGTGAACTCCACCGAGGCCTGTGCGTTTAACCGTGACATCAAAACACTTTGGCGTAATACGGCGCACGAAATGTAGCCCGGGGATCGAGTAGCAAAAATCCAAAAGGCACAGCTCAAGAGCTTGTGTGCTTCGCAAATCAGAAAATGAATGCGTTCCCGGCATACTCCCTCTTACAATCATTCATAATGAAAGGGGGTTCAAACCCCACTCCTTACATCATGTCAAAAGCAAAAGCCAACCAAAGTCGCAGACCTAGAGCCGCACAACCGTGCTTGGCGTCGGCTATTTTGTGCCACGCTGTCGAAGCTATCGTAGCTTCCATGGTGCTGCAGCCCCGTACTGCTGTGAGAGCCTGTGGCTTCGTTTTGCGCGCCATTCCCACGGACCCGCGCAAGTAGGTAGCCTTGACAGTGTCAGGCACCGGGGAAGCTATACCATATTCACCGACAAGGTGAGGAAGGTAGGAAGCTTGTACTGGAGGGGCGACAACGGAAACTCTCCCCTGCTGTTCCTACCCTGCCGCCGATTATAGCCTCAACAGCCCAAAGTAGTCGCTTCCGAGTGTACCGTAATGTCTCAAAAGATGCCCTGCCCTCGAAAGATAACCCACCCCTTTTTTGACACGATTTACTATTTTTCTACCAAAATGCCGAAAGATAGCTTCTTTTTTTTTTTTCGTCTTGTAATTGCACTGCCCTGATTAACGGTGACCTGGGCCGAAATGGGGTTAGTTAGCTAAAGCGCGAGATGAGCGAATATTGCTGACTAAGGACAGTTGTCTACGCTCCAATGACCCTCAATGTGAAAACAAGTTTCGCACATCACAGAATACAAAAGTAGCATTCTTTTAATATTTCTCGATTGCATACGGGAAGTTAGTCCACTCCTAGTTTTCATCCGATTTGCTTTCACTTTTAGGTTGGCTATCTCTGGGGATATTACACTGGCTCGTCTTTTTGTTCCCCCGTAAGCCCCGCCAAGCGGCCGACCTGTAGTGGTCTTCCTCGAGGAACTTCTGCAGCTCCTCCAGGTAGAACGGCCTGGCCAGCTGCGCCTGCAGGGGGGGCAGGGGGGTCAGCGCCAGCCGCAGGCAGGACCGCTGCAGGGACCCCAGGGCCTCCAAGGTCGCTCCCAATCGCTGCTCCCAGTCCGGGCCCGCACCCCTAGGGATGCACGGGGATGAACGTATTCGGTCAGTTGGCAACACTGGTGCCGTGAAATACTGAGCACCACCAACCGTACAGACGACAGATGGACACTGTGATACTGCCTATGCCTGCGAGGTAGTAGAAATTGGAAATGCAGACTAGAGGACTGGCGGGAAAAAACTGTGAAGAGGGAGGGGTGCCCCAGCAACAAGGCTTAAAAAGACACTGACACCCCCCTAAAAAAATTTTTTTTTTTTTGTCATGCGATTTAATATGGTGTGTGGGTGGGGACTACCCAATCAACTTATTGCTGCTGTCACGTATATTTTAAAGAAAGCAAAAAAAACTCAGCTGCTCCAAAACCGAAAGACAAGCACGGGAGCTCATGGCTGGAAAACATGTGACTACACCCGAACTAATTTTTTTTTTTTCGCTTCTCTGGTGTGTGAAGCGGACGATGACGCTGACGACAACGAACTTGCGTGCACCGTTTGTCGTGCGATTGTTTTGCGCTTATATCCCTTCCGCTCGATGTTATGCAGTTGAAGTTCGATAGGCCGGTACCATGAACGACAGTTCCAAAGTAGCGGCCCCACGTCCGTCGCAACTTTAGTCCGTCGTGCGCAGCCATCGCGTCGTCCAGCCCGCGGTACGTTGCCATATTCAGAATGACGTGCACATGTACTTTCTGTGATCTGTGCAACATTTATTTTTTCAATCAATGTATTTGTAGCTTCTTGGATGCTATAAAAATAGGGTTCATATTCTTTTCTGTTTTCAATATTGAATCTGTGCCTTAGATGACCCACGACTTTTAATATACTTGGTACACATAATTTGAACACCACGTGTCCATGGAAAAGAGAGTGAACGCGACTAAAACCAACCAACTCTGGACCGGCTGTTTTCGGATAAAACGAAAATTAATTTCGAGCCGCAAATTGTGTTCTGGGTAGTTGGGTTCTTATAGGCCATATTCAAATAAAAACCTCGGTGAGCATAAATACCTTATTAGTGTCCCTTTAAGCTTTTAATATTTTTTCGTCTAGATCCAGTTTTTTAGACTGCGATCACTCAAAACAGAGGGTTCTCATAATCCAACCCAATCAAATCTGAGCAAGCGCCCACCCAGAAAGATGGAGATTATCTTGAAGAAATTGCGAATAAACACATAAAGTGTGCCGCAATTGACAGCAGCTGCTGCTGCGCAGTCAAAAGATATCTTTTAGGATATTTGCTTTTAGTCATTCTGCTTTGGAATATTCACTTTCAGACAGTGTTCCCCAACCTCTGCTACCCTGCAACCTATCAAAACTGTAAAATATTGCGTAGTGAACCCCCCTTTTTACGATATCACAAGTTTTTCAATTTCAGTGCATGAAAAATACATAAAACTGACACTCAAGTTTTATTTGACAGTTAACATGGGCAGAGTCAATCAATTAGGCTCAACAACAATGAGAAAGAAAAAAGTGTCAGCAGGAATGACTGTTTTTAATGGCTAAAGTGAGCTCGATCATCGAAGCAAATTTTCTGAAAAGGAGGATGGAACTGGGTCCCCGCAACTCTCAGTTCTGGCTCAATGTCGAGCTGTGACCTGCGCCGTTTCATGGATGCCACTGCAAAAGTCAGGTTTGCATTTTTAAGTTTTCGAGCCGCGATGCGACGCGCCGAATATGTCACGACCAGTGCGTAAAATAGGCAGGTAGGAAAATGAGAGCCGATTGGGCGACCTGATTGTGTCCCCGCTTAAGGAAGGTTCGCAGTACTCCACATAGACAGCGCCGCGAAAAGAAAAAACGAAAAACAAAATATCCTCATTTATTTTGCAAGCAACATGATTCACCAGCAATTTATTTCATAAACAGTGCATGAACCAACCAATAATATATTTAATACATAGGTTCTGTTTTGCCCATTGTTTTACATTACAAGCTAAAACAGTCAAAGGGGCGCACAGCGCGACAAAATAGAGGCGAGCCGAGAAGCCAGACGAGGAGTTGAAACATGTCGTAATTGCGTCGACTGGGTCGATTCCACTCCACCTGCAGGTGCGTTCGGCAATCTAGCTTATATGTTTCTGCTGTTTACGTGCAAGCAACGTAAGTTTTAAATCAACATCATTTGCACTCAGCGGTATGCCGTCGCACTACCCTGCAGTCACATTGTGCCCAGCACGACGGAGTCATCTGAACTCATCATCGCTCGTACTCTGAAGTGTCGAAACATGTTATTGAGTGTAATAATTGTGTACCGCTTTGGCAGTCTACCTCTGCTATCTTAACCGAGAGAGATGACCACAAACGGTTGGTAAAGGAGTCTCTCACTATTCTTAATCATGGCAATGCAGTTAATACTCCATCCCTTAGTTTAGATACAAGGTTAGAAGCTTCCTACAAATTTGATCGCCTTGTTTTGCAAGGTCACTCACAAACCTTTGTTGGCTTTAGCCGACCTTCTTTTTGTATACTTTTTTTTTGTGTTCCTTTAAGTGTTTTAAAGTTTGAGGTGTTTGCCCACGGTCCTGTTGGTTTGTTTCCAAAAAAAAAGAAAGATTCTAGGTCCTTTGTGTGTCTTATCGGATGTTCGGCTAAAATGATTCATGTCGGCTTGGTGCCAAGTCCTTTGTGCCAAGAGTGTTCCCACTTTTCTTCTCTCTCCTCTCTTTCCTTCTCTTTTGGTTTGTGAGGGCAGAAAATCCCTACATAAACACAAACTACTGTGGAATCAATTTCAGCTGTGTTTGAGACTCTGCGTTGTGTTGTCCTTCGTCTTTTCCCCAGTCTGGGGGTTTGTCTAAAATTATGTGAAACCTTCATCAGCACGTTTGTGCCCCAACTTTTTGTTCATTAATAAATATCACCGCTTTTTCTCTCTTCGGGCTGTAACTCAACCTAGGGCTCAGAACACAACAGTAGCTGCCTGTTGCTCAAGTACCTTGGCTGTCCCCAGGCACTAAAACATGGTGCGAAATGTCAATTTCGTCTGCTACTGCCCAACTTGTCTGCTCCAAGAGTGTTTGAAAGAAAACCAAACAAAACGAAAAGCAAAGAGCACGTCAGATGTTTCGCAGACGATTTCACACTGTCAGCTGCTCACGCGGCTTGGAAAGTACAATAAAGATTTTAAAAAATGTTGATAGATAATCATGTTGCAACTTTATTTTTCCAGAATTTAGTTGATGCTACTTTAAATTGAAGAATATTGTTGACACAGTATGTTTTCTTGCAAAGTTCCATACAAACCCAAGTTCGTCGCCTTTTGTATGCCGCCACGCCATCTACCGTAGGCTGGAGGTGCTCTCTTAGCAGAAGCCGCCAGGAGCCCTATGCTACACGGTGGGACCAAGCGGGACCAAGACAACGTTGTCTGCAGCGATCGGTCATTGCTGCGCCGGTGACCAATCGCAGCAGATGACACTATCTTGGTCTCTTGGTCCCGTTCGGTCCTGCCGTGTAGCATAGGGCCCCAAAAGGACACAATTTGGTGGCACTGATGCAGCAGGTTTCAGTGGTCATTTCCTGACCTGCCAATCTTACACTTGGTCACGACCTCCCTTGGAGTCGCGACCCACAGCTTGGAAAACTCTAACTTTAAAAGCTTTGCTTTTAGTAGAACAGGTGCAGGAGATGTGCTTGAGGAGATGCATGCTTTTGTAAAATGCTTTTACAAGATCTGCTTTTGGTGAGAAAATGACGCTGAGACGCGATTTTTGGTTGAAACGCTCAATATAAAATGTGGTTTTGATTCATTTCTCTTTGCAGACATGCCAGAGAACCTTCCAAATCCCCAAAGTGGTTTCGAAGCTGCTGCTGTGTGGGCAGTGGCCAGGAGGTGGCGAGAGAGAAAGAAACGGAGCGTTACCTTGGGTAAAATGCTTGTCAAAATATTGCACCTGTGATTTTGATGGGGGGTGTCAAAAGAACTGAGCAATTACATTTATACGGGGGACACAAAAAAAAATAAAACAGCTATTCCTCGTCTTTCACAAGTGACATCCAGGATGTGAAAATAGCCCTCCAAGATATCTTGATGGCAAGCAATTAAGATGCTCACTAACTTTTCGCAACACAAGCTCGACAACCCACATAAAAGCCTTCAGTTAGCACAACTGTACTGCAGGAAACGGACGCATGTCAAAAAGATCCCACGGCTAATGCTTTGCTGCAGTGCGCCTCTATGAAATAGAGTGAAGCCCACTTCAGAGAGCAAAAATATTCCTACGTTACTTTTGTAAATCGCTAAAATTATTCAGTATATATACCTTACCAAAAAAAAGGGCTCTTGACCGGTTCCATTTCCAGTGTTTGTGCGTACAGCATGTGATTTGATCGCTTTCCGAAGCGACGAACATGCACGTGCTGGGCTGAGGAGAACACATGCTGGGCTGCGGACTTGTAGATATTGAAATGGTGTATACCATTCAATATTAATTTAATACTAAATCGCCATGGCATTGAACTTTTCAACAATAAATAATCACTAACTTCTCAAAACTCAAACACAGGAACCCACATAAGGAAGGTGCTTTCTCCAGTAAGCACAGCTGCGCCGTGGGAAAGTAACAAGATTCAAAAAGCCACGTGGAAAGCGCTTCTCCCCAGTGCACCCGTGCGCGAGGTGAAGCAGGTTTCGGGGTGCAAATATGTTCCGTTTTGAAGACCGACCCGTAGGATCGTTTTTTGCCGGGCAGGGAACCCTTTCCCAGCTTTCTTCTCCCCATTTCCTCTCACACTCTTTTCTCCTCAACTCCCAAAAGGACCCGGTGTCCAAGTTACTCTCCACAGAAAGGAGCAATTAAGGAGTGGTTTGCTCCTTTCTTGGACGCTCGTCGGACCCCAACTTACCTTGCAAGTCGCGAAAGCCATTGAAATAGTCATTTAATTATGACTTACAGTTGCATACACAGGAGCTCATAGTGCAGAATGTAGGTTTTCTTGGAACCCTGTGGTGGTTGTCCAGAGTTCCCTCCCTCGACCATCCCCGCCACCAAGTCTATGTTTTTCCAGATTAAATGGGTACTGCGGCAATTTTGTGAGCTACCCCAACAAATTATATTTTTGGAATCAACGGCCTTTCCCCTTTCCGGTATTCTATTTAGTATCCCGAAATTACGAATTAGTTATTCTGAAATTGGCAACAGAAAATAATGTCAAAACCAAGATTCAAATATATCCACACTTTTCAGTGCCGTGACATCAGGGGAATTCGTGCTGCTGCGCAGGTGCTGGAGCGAGCTTCCAAAGCATTCGTTTGACACCATGAGACTGCTTGTAATCACTTGGGAACAATGTCTACAGTCCAAAGGGTGAATCCCTGCCTTCCCCTGACAGCACTTTTCATTGTTGCCAGTAGAGACTCACTTTGAAAAATGTGGTGAGGACCAAGATTGTAAATTTAATAACTTAGCAAAAAAAATAATTTTGGCCTAATTAAGTTACTATTTGTAACCCAATTGGGATACAAATAGCCAGCCAAGTTTGTTGGTGTGTTTAGCAAATTTTCAGGCAAATTGGGGACTATGAATAAAACGCCAGAGTACCCCTTTGAGCACAATCTTAGCACATCTGAGCCATTCACTGATGCTTAACTGTAAGTCAGTCAAACACTCCCTACTATGTCCATAATTGTTTACAAAGCCTGTGGAACTTTCACTGCTTTATTGTATAAAAAAGTGTTTATTTCATTGATCACATACCTCTCCTACTTGCCCCCCCCCCCCCCCCCCCCCTTTTTTTTTCAGGGTCTGCAGCATGGTTAAATAAATAAATATAAAAATAAATATTGCGTCAATGCCGGTACTGGGAGGGGCTGCCTCGGCTTTCAGCCGAGCCAGATAGGGCATCCTCAATCACGATAAAAAAGTTTAAGAATGTCCGGTGCAAAATATTCGCACAGGCGCTTCAAAATTTCAAGAGCTCAAAAAGAATTCAGTTTCTTTTTTGCGTTGTTGCTAGCTAAAAACATACAGGAATACTGTGCAATTTGTCGTTTCATCCGACGATCCTTGCCCGTACCTGGGGGGTCTGGCGAGCTCCAGGTGGAGCAGGTCCCGCAGGTAGAGCCCCAAGTGGGGAAGGCATGGGGTGCCCACCGACAGGGCCGCCTCCAGGCGGCGCCGCAGGGCCCCGAAGTTGTCCTGCTCCGAGAAGAGGCGCGCCAGGCGGGCCAGGGACTGCCGCTCCCGACGCCCCACCTGCCACCAATGAGACACGGAGGTCTCCGTTCCTTCGTTCCGTTCGTCTGTTTCGATACAGCGCCTGGAACGAGTCTTCGACCAGCACGTTTACTGCGTCTAAAAAGAAGCAGTTCCTCGATTTTTTCCCAGACGCCGCCGTAGAAGCATCGCACCGTCACCGGTCGCCTGCTTCACTGCAGGTCATTTTCCGGCTTGAAACGTCCACGCAACATGGAGGTAGGAAGTTTCTGGAGGCGACAGGATGCCACCAGGGGTGAAGCCAGAAGTGTGGAGGGACACACCCCCAATGATGACCAAAACCAAGAGACGCTATTGAACAAACAGGAGAGCCGTTGGTGCCAAGTCAGCTCTCCTTTTCGTCCTATAGCGTCTCTCAGTTTTGGCCATCATTAGGGGCGTGTCCCTCCGCGCTTCTGGCTTCACCTCTGGTGGCCTTGTTTCGCGTCCGGAAGCTTCCTACCTCCGTTCCACTAAAGCTTCGGTAGGCGGGAGCTGGGACACCACGACGGCGTCAGCGCTCACATTCTCCCATCCTTTTCTTCGGAACTTGCACGAACAACCGCCGGGAACGGACGTCCAATAGCCACGCTCTGGCTTTTTGGGACGCCGTTTGTTGTCACTTCGGCACCATTTTCGACGCACGGGCGCAACGGGACGCTAAACGCACCGGTCCGAGATCGTTCCGGGTGCCGTGACATTGGACCGTCAGTCGTATTGCATATTAGAGACACGAGTTGTGATGCAGACGCTTTCATACCCCCCTTACCTTCCACAGAGACACAAATGCACAAACGTTTCCCAGCTGTATGCAACCACATGTGATACCGCCTTCACTTGAAATATGACACAATCCCATAAGTAGCAACGTGCATTCATAAAAAATTATTATTATTGCGTGAGAGTGCCGAAAATAATTACGAGACGCTGTACGGTGTCTCGGACCAATCGGTGTAATTCACTGGAATGCCGCAGAACTTGTAAGTGCGAGCGAAGATGGAAACAAAAAAGGGGTCCTTAGGTCACGCTGAGCGCATCGGCAAGATTTTGAGAGCCAAGCTGTGGTGGCAGATTCTGCTTTTATATGAAGTGCTTGTCCGTGTTCCATTCTTCGTGTCCTCTCTCTTTGCCCTTACAAGTACTGAGAGCATCATGCACCGACCAGCCCAATAACGAGCCTCGTTAAAACATGTCACTGTATCTTCGGGACGCTTTGTCTCGTTACTTACACTTCCCTGTTGAGAATGGCCATGTTCGTGTGGCATACTATTCACCATACTTGGTGGGAGCTAATATTAGGAGGGTGTCCTTGAGACTTCTGGTAGCATGTTAAGAGGAAACACTGGTTTTGGTGCTTTCTCTCTTAATTTTTGGCCTAACAAAATGAAACTATTTATGTCTGTGGAGTTTCTGTTGCTGGTTTCCAATATCTGGTCATTTCTTTCAACCGGTAGGCTAGTCCTTATAATAATTCAAACTTGCCGGTCTTTGTTTGCAAGAACAGTAGGAAAAAAACTGCTCAACAAAAAATTAAATTTAATACATGGCTAGATACTACAAAGTCTAAAAAATACAATGTTGGAAGTACTTTTGAAGTTCACTGTTCAATGTGTGGCCACCAAGTAATAAAACAATATATCAATAAAAATATTTCCTACTCCTATTTTGAAGAATTTACACTTCACAGTGTATGCTTTGCCATATTAACTAAATGTTGCAGAAAAAAAATTATGTTTCTATCAGCCCTAGATGCTGAGATACACTTCCTGCAAATTTGCTAACAGTAAAAAATGCATGTTTTGAGAAAGCTCCATTTTAACACAAGTTTGAATTCAAATTCGGCTGTGCAGACTTTGTAAATTGATAATACGGTTCAAACATCAGTCTACAAAATTAGAAACTTGGCAAATCAGGAGAAAGATAACTGCAAATTTCAAAATAGCCATCAAAAAAAAAAAAAGTTTTAGGATTTTTTTTAATGCCAATGACTCGCGTCTTCTCTTAGTTTGTTCCCCTGCAATGCACGCTGACCAGGAAAGACAACGTTTCTTTGGAAAACAAATATAATAGGTTTCTGAGGACAGAGAGCTAAAAAAATGTGAAACAAGATTGGGAGAAAAAACAAACAAATAAAAGTGTGGAACGGTCCACTGACATTTATTTATTTAGGACCACTGCCAATCTCACGAAGAGGTTCTAAAGGCCCTTTCACACACTTGCGTTTGCTTACGACCAAATTCTTGCGATCTCTTACGACGAGAGAACACACCGTCATGCTGGCGCCATAAACAAGGTGACCCTGGAACTGCATTCCACTAGAGCAAAGGTTTTGCAGTGTCTGCAGGATTAAATGTACATACTATCTATGAGGAATGGTACTTTATAGCCAGGGTTCTCCCCAGGAATTTCCGAGGGGTGGACATTACCGGAAGAGGGGGGGGGGGGGGGGGGCATTTGTTTTTTTGTTTTGTTTTTATTGTTCGTCGCGTCTTTTTATTCCCCCCCCCCCTTCGGGACACTGCCGGCGACATGCCGCTGAGACAGAGAAAGAAAAAAGAAAGAAACACGCCGAGCGCCCGTGCTCTTTGTTTGAAGCAGTGTGGCAGTGGCGGCAGTCAGCGATGCAATAGCGAACGATAACGTGGCGATGCGCGGATCTGCTGAGTATGACGGCGACAGTCTGCAACCATATGCGCAGGCAAAACCGCATCGTCATCCCGCGACATTAAAAAAAAAAAAAAAATAGAGTGGTGGGCGGTCAGTTGGAGGAGCGGGCGGCCAGTCGGAGCGGTGGGCGGCAAAGCCACTGCCGCCCAACGTGGGGAGAACCCTGTTTATAGCATTGTCAAAAGATTTTCAAGCCAAAAAGGAAGGAATGATGCGCGCAAAAAAAGAAGAAAAATTACAGAAGTCCCAAGTGTTTCACCACTACCCGACAGATGGCAGCAGTGTATTCACTCGTTGCGAGAGATTTTAAGAGGTTCTAAGGCACACAGTCATAAACAGTAGCAAGTGTGTCAACCAGCCTTAACAAATGGTATGAATCAACAATGACTAAAGGAAAACGGATAAAATGATGATGTATGCAAAAACATTGTATGAGAAAACTATAAAAAAAAACACACCATTTTTTTTTGCAAATTAACTGAGACACGCAACAACATACCTACGGACTCCTATGTGCAGTGCCGAGCTTGTTCACAAACAAACACCAGCGAGTAGTACACTCCATCAGCGCAGGCCAGTACGCTACAGTCCGCTTCACCTTAGGTCCGATCGCAGCAAATGCTACGAGCAACCAATCCAGCTCTGTGAACGTAGCACGTGATATGTTCTCCGCACGCCACTGCGGCCCCTCTTTAAGGTCATGCAACGCTCACACCAGTGGCGTAGCCAGGAATTTTTTTCAAGGAAGGAGGCGCTGAGGTGTCTGGGATGTCCGTGACTTGAGGTCCGAGGGGGGGGGGGGGGGGGGGTAAAAATGCATGCATATATTATAGCATTGGCTGGATTTCAGTGTGGTCTCTCTCCCACTCCCTTGGATTAGCTCTGATGGCTCGTAACATATTCGCTGCAGTCGGTCATAAGATGAAACGGAGGAGGGGGGGCTGCGGGCGAGGATGAGGCAAAAAGCAAAACCCCCGCAGACCTGAGCCCAGGTCTTGCCCAGCCGGAAAACCGGTGCAGACTGGAGTGCCGAGAGGACAGCGCAAGCGCCGTGCAGGTTGCCCAGCTCCTGGAGTCGCTTGCCCAGGCGCACAAAGTGCGACACCAGCTCTGCCCGGTGCCTTGTCGTGCGCCCTCGCAGCACCTCCCGCACCACCCACAGGCTGACCTGTGCCGGGGAAAACATCCAACGTGTTGAAGCATGCCGACGAATGCGAAAGTTGATTAGACGGCGTTAAAGTACCTGCACGACAGCACTCGTATGTGCAAGTAAAGCGTGCCCCCAAAACATTTTGTTTTTTTAACCGCAAAAGTTAGTTATGTTTCACCGAATGCTAATTCTCCACCCAAAGGTAGTGCTAGAGGTCCAAACTAGACGCCAACGTTTCAGCCAGAACCAATATCTTATTCAAAAGTTGTAAGTGATTTTCCGAAAATTTCAATGGGAAAATAGGATGAACATAGATAGAATTACGAGAGTGTGTTGGTTAAACATCTTAGTATGCGAAAGCAAAAGGAGATGAGAGACACACAAAAACACGCCAATTCGTGTCTGACATGTTTTGGTCTGTTCCTTGCCTCCCTCCTTTTGCATTCGCACACCAAGAAGGGGAAAATTGGGCCCATTTATGCCCTTTTCAGTTTCTGGCGTCATAGAGCTCAATGTACTCGAAAGCTCCATTGGCTGCCATTTTCCCATTGAAATTTTCAGAAAATCACTAGCAACTTTTGGAAAAGATATTCGTTCGGGCTGAAACTTTGGCATCTGGTTCGGACCTCTAGCGCTACCTTTGGGTGAAGAATGAGTGTTCAGCGATGTAAAGTTTACATTTGCGGTGAAAAAAAAATCTCTGCAAATTTTTTTGGAAGACAGCCTGTACATACCAGTGTTCAGCTCAAACATTAGTATGGGCACTAAAGTGTGCCAATATCGATGAGCTGCCATATATGAGCAAACTTCATTTTAATGCTTTCTTGACCTTTTGCTCGCTATTCTTTTTTTTTGTCCTAGTCAGCTGAGGTATGAAATTGGACACTTGGTGCTCTTGGGAAGATACATGCGTCGATAAGAGGGAAGCTTGAAAGAAACAGTGGGATTTGCTTTCAATTGTCCTATACAAATGTTTTGCACACTTCTTCTCTGCATCATTTTTGCTACGCATCAGATGACACGGTCACGGACAAATGCTGAAAACAATAAAAGAGACATGAAGGGTCAGAACAAATGATAAATAGCTTCCACCCCAACCGTGGGAGGCAAATGCGTGAAGGCCATTTACTTCTAGCGCTGTGGTATACTGTGGTTCGTGGCAAGTGGGCTACAGAAACCACCATTAACACTTTCCCATGCTGAAGCTAATGCTGTGTAGCTTTAGCCCACCTCTGCATCCTCATACCTTCCAGACAAAAATACCAACGGTGGTAGAAATGCAAACGAGCTGTAGATGGTTAAGCACACAAAACAAAACTTAAGCAGGGAATGTAAGCGAAGCATGCAGTACACCCTGTGAAATCTGTTTTGCTCCCTTTTTGCTTCAGAGTTGGGTTTTGTTCAGTACCTTCAGTTTGGCTGCATCTTTCTATCGCACGTTGCTCAGTGGCAATGTCACTTACATGGTTAAACCTGCAGGTGAAGGCAACCACATTAGGGGCAATGGCCATCTTGTTCCTTTTGTTCCAACCACAGCTGGTGAGTTCCTGCCAGGAATAGCCATTTAGCCATCAGTGAGACCAAAAGTGAAATGGCAAACCACATACCTCTGGCCTGATCTTCCGGAAAACATCCCGATCCAGCAGCGTCAGCTGAGTCTGCGAAACGAATCGACAGTGTTGGTCACAGCTAGTCCACACTGACTACTCAGTCACTCCAGGGTTTCCTTCACGACATCACAGGGGCTATGGCACTTAAGGAATTGTTTTAGCAAATATGAACAACTCATCAAAGGCTGAAAGGATCTGCCTTCCCTTTTTAACTCGGTAGATACACCGTTTCAGCATAATAGATCCTTTTCCAGACTCCCAGTTCGAGGGTTTTTTCGCTAGAAGATGTGGGCGTGGCACAAGCGCGTGCAAATGTTTCTTCGAATAAGGGCTCTAGATCCTGTTAGGCCCACTAAGCGACGGTGACCTGGATTTAGCTCCAGAGACATCACTTTTGTGTCTGTGGTGGCTTATCTTTTGCCAGAAGTTAGCACAAAAAAACTTGTCCCCTCTCCTTACTACTTGTGGTTTTTCATTCCACCTAAGATAATCCTCCAACATGGGGCAAAAAGAGGTGGATTTGGCAAAACACAAACACTTTGGTCCCTGTGAACCAATCAGACTCAAGCATGTGACAACTCCTCACGGGAGGAGTATGCAGGCTTCTATTCTTTCCCTGCACTTCTCCGTCTGCAAATGGGTTATGGCGGCAACAACAGCTAGACTCGCTTCACCCGACATTAACTAATTCAGTTGTCTTGCTTCACATTCATAGCGAAGTTTAGCGGAATATCTGAATAAAGTCAATTTATTTGACCACACTTTACTCGACGCACATGCATACAATTTGCATCACAACCATGGGTTCCACAGCATGATGACGGCCATTCACCTGAGACACATGGGAACTTACTGTGGCGTAATCAAATCTATTGTGGTACCCATAAACTGGTTGCTTTAGCCGAGCTATAGTCTGTGTCACGAGCAGAGCACAGCATTCGGCTTGAAAGCACATCATCCGCGGGTCCCTTAGGGGGTTTAAATTCCAGCCAATGTCGTCTGGCACCCGACTAAGAGCTCCAGAACTCCTTAGACTGGCCTGCAAGAGGGACGAGCGCAGATTTTCCGCACTTACCGCAAAGTCCTCCGTGTCCACCTTGAGGACGTCAAAAGGTGCGGTGTCCGGGCACTCTGTTTCGCAGTGCAGATTCCACACAGGGCCATCGTAACGCCAACTGCTGGCTTGTGAAGCCTGCATGAAGACAGAAGCAGCGTGTGAAAACCTGTTGTCCGATATTAAAGCCCCCTAAAGATAACAGGTGCGGTGTTTTGTGTTCTCTATCGGCCACTGTCCAACGCGCCCCTGGACTTATCTTTCTGCATAACAAGCAAGCAGGCGTTCCGATAAACACGGTGACCAAGGTCTTCAAAAACAACTTCCGTTGCCTTTATTTCTAATCTCAGCGGCAGGGAGAGATGCAATGCTGACATTACCAGCAGCATGACGCCGGCTTCAAATGACGCTTTTATTTACCGCTGTGTGGATAGTCCGTCCTATTAGAATACTTTCCTCGGATATGTGTAGGCTCTCGATGTGTCCGCTGCACGCCTCCGAGATGTTCATTTCGTTGTATTTCATTATCAGGTTGAACACCCGAGTTTCTTACAAACAGTCAACATTACGCAGATCAAAACGTTTTTGTTGTTTTTTTCGGTGAATTTTAACGTTTTAACACGAAGCCGACATATGCGGATTAGTCGCTAAAAGTATTATTCGGTGTTTTTGGTAACTTTGGCAAATCAATCCGTCGCAAAGAAAGTTCACTCAAGCACATCGCACGAACTGCACAGAGACGAGACGAAGTTGACAGATTGACGAAGCAACGACAGGCGAGCTGGGCGAGCGACGGGACACGGCGGGACGGAAACCTGCGGAAACTGCGGAAACGACGAAGACAGTAAACGCCGGTAGATGCTGCATCCGCATACCCTGTTGCAGGTCTTGTTAGAATTACTAGAATTTAGTGTGCCTATATTACAGAGTGTTTACAACAACTCCATCGGGATCACATGGTTTATGGCCGGCCGAAAGTGTCGAAAGTTGCTCCGCACAGCTCAGCTTCTCCATCAGCTTTCCTTCCTTTCTTCCTTCACACGCCGGCACGGCAACTGCACGAGCCGCACGAGCCGCACGAGCACCCGCGAGCACCTCTCCTGCGCGTTGGCAGGAGAAGCAGGAGGCGTCCGCCATTAAATTGCGAACTCTCTTTATTGTTTAAGTTGCCCCCTCTCCAAGATCCAGGCTTTCTAAAATTAGTAGAATGGTGCTGCCGTTCTGCGGTCGACTGGGATATGTGCGTTACATTTGTTACCTAGCAGCTATTTCATCAATTAAAAGCAAATAGGTTAATTTTAAAAATTATAATGCTAAAATTATTAACGCTAAAGCACACTTAGATGATGATGTTCAAAGCTAAATTTAAGTACCCGTTTATTACTTTGTTGCAAAAAAAGAACGCAAAACAAACAAACTTGAGAAGCAAAAACAAAAATTGTTCAAAGGATGCAAATAACGCAAATAACAGCTTGCAACCCAACGTTGCAACCCTGCGTTACAAACTTTCTATCAGCAGCACAAGCAGCACCATCAGTATCATTACGAACTACCACCTATTTAGTATCGGTTTCGTTTTGAAATAGAAACTTAATTGAACTCTCTTTAATTCATTATTATTTCTAGACTTTTTGTTTTGTTTTGTTTTTCTTGAAGTGGTTATATTTCTCGAAAGCTTCTGCTATTGCCTACTGAGCCAACTGCCAACGATTCCACGACGTTGGTATTACGGTGTTCACAATATTGCCTAATAAACAACGCTGCTAATAACAATTCAGCGTGTGCCGGAACGTAACTTTTGTCACACGCTGCAACCAAAGCTTGGGCGCTAAAATGAACGCTGAGAAAAAAAAAAAAAAAAGAGATATTGGGTGCGGGTATGTTTATACAGCGACTTGTCTCGCAGCTGTAGATGAGCAATTTAGCCAGTGTGCTACAACGGCTGCCTGGGGTCCTTGACGTGCATCACGCAGACACGACCGCACGCCGGTACGATGCTCATCCAGATCGAAACGGGCAGGGGTGGGGATTCAACCCAGGGATCCTAAAGCCCATCTATCATGGGAAAAGTGGCGCCATTCATTGTTGTAGAAATGCTCGAGACACGTGCAGCGCGCCAATTCAGGAAAATCCATGGCGTCTGAAATCTAGCTCAGTGCTGCGCTGTGCCGCCATGATATTCCCAAGGGCTGCACGTTGCACGTGCCTCGACGAGCCTTGCGCTACTTTTGAAACATGAAGGGGCTTTAAGGGATCCTGGGTTCTGTAGCTCGCGCTGCAGAACCCAGGATTGGTGCAAAGCAGCGGGCTAACGCACACCAGCTCGGAGCATGCGGAGCTTTCGCTCTACATGCTTGCCCACTCGGCCACTGTTGCCCTTTTGTGGCATTCAGAAGTAGTGAAAAGTGCGCGTGCATAGCAGTGGTGTTCAAGGTACGCGAACGCCCACAAATAACTCCATAAAAAAAAAGAAAAAAAAACTGCTGAGGTTGGAAACAGATAAAAAAGTGAAAGTCGTTTACAACTCCCTGTAACACCGAATTAAAACGCAGCTCTTGAGGAGGAGGAGGGAAGGCTACTGGGGGAGGGGTGAAGTGACCTTGGGGGGGTCACGTGACGATGCCGTCATCAGTGACGTCACTGATGACGTCATCTGTGATGATGCCGGTGACGTCACTGATGACATCATTAGTGATGATGACGATGCGGACGCCGGTGACGTCATCGGGGAGGTCACATGACCTCGTGGGATCACGTGACCTCGGGGGGTGTCACGTGACTTCCGAAGGTCACGTGACCTTGCGGTGATCTTGGGGGTCACATGACCTTGGGGGTCACGTGACCTTGGTTACGCCGACGCCGACGGCAACGGCGACGGAGACGCCGCTCAAGCCGGGAACGGGCCCCTAGAGCTGCGCTCTAAAATGGGTGACATGCACACACACCGTCCCTACAAATACAGCTACTGACTTTATTTCATATCGTCCAGCCTCGATCCCCGTAGGAGATCAATTTCCTGGCCTCTTGGTTGGCTTGGTTTTAGCGCGCGTGCCCTCTGTATGTCTTTTTAGAGCCAATACTTCGTTTTCGTATTTATTGTTTTGAGTTTTTTAGGCCGATTCTCTCTTTTCTGTTCTCAACTGTTCATGTATATATTGCACTGTTGCATTCAATAAAATATAGTTGCGAGTCAGCGCTCTGTCTGTCTTTCCTTCGTTCAGTCCGTCGTCTTTTTGCACTGTTTTTATCTTTTAGGTATAGCGACCTCCTCGCCCCAAGATAAAATGGATCACAAGAATAAGCATCCTTCCACCAGCTCTGCCCCTGCATTTTTACAACTTTCTTCGTTAGAAAAAGTATAGGAGTGCGAACGGTGTAAATTGAACACAATTACGAAAGACACCGAAACTGAGGTGGGAGAAGAACAGAGAACCACGAAGACTCATTGCCACAAAAAGTCTAATGTTTTTCTACCACTGTGCTTTGGCTATCTATGGCATGATGTTGGTGTTGAGTTTGTCTATTATTAAAAAAATAGACAAACTCGCACAACTTCCACCTCTGCAGATATTGCAAGGATGGAATCAAGATGGCCACCAGTGAATACTCAGCAGCACAAAAAGATCACTCTATTGGTGTATTCACACGACGGAGATTTCTTTCACTAAGAGTGAACGTCATCGAGCTTCGAGGTCACATGCGCCACATCACGGCGCGAGCTAGCCCACTCTCAGGGCTTTGAGACAGAATTGTCTAACACGAGCACTCGTTCTGCAGGACACTTCAAAGCCGCGATCTCGTGCTCTCATGGTCATCCACGAGGTGGCGCACATGCTCTTCTCTGTCCAAGAAATCTGTGGTGTAAATACACCATAAAGGTCAGTATGCAATAAGACAGAATCCCTGCAGTCTGTGGGGTATCTTCTAATGTCCACACAGTAAAAGGACATTCCTAAAAACAACCACAAGGCAACACTCTGGGAGGAAGACCAAGCACATGACACCATAGTACATTGCAACATTTGATTTTATTTTCACTTTCTTGAAGAACAGAAGAAAACAAGACGTTATCACCCCCAACGCCACGGGGTAAGAAAAACAACTGGTCATGTACGCTTGCAGCCCAAAACTCCTCAGCCAATACCTAAAAATACAGATGCAACCGGCACTGAAACATTTGCTAGCTTTGGCTGTTTAAATATTAACACATTCATACCACAGTTCCTTCCTTAGGACCACAGAAACACAAACACAAACACTAACATCATTTTGCCTTCCCACTTTGCAGGCTGCTTTGCACCAATCATGCAGATAATATGTAAGAAAAAAAGAACCCTTCGAAAGATAAATTGTCTTTGGTCTCCAGCCCGCTACAACTTAACCGGAAATTGCGAAGAGAGGCGACGATGATTAGTTTCTCGGCACCTGGCTACATTGGCGATGAATCCAAGGCAGAGGTGTCCTAAAGATGGCTTCAACGGGTCTGGCCTGCAGGGCTGGGGGATCCATCTTCGCAAGCTGCACACTTATTGCCGGAACTGTCCCCATCATTTTCTTTTTCTTGTTTCAAAGCTGCTTCCTTAAACAAGCCCGCATCCTTCACATAACGTAAGAATGCCAGCTTCCTAGCAAGCTGGCACCATCCTTAAAACATACAAGCACCGGTGTGAGGAAGAGCAGCGACTCGTGGACCTTTGCCGGCCTTGCAAACACTGGGTTAGAGAGTTCCGTCACCACAACATGACCGAGCTTGGCAAAAGATAAAACAACCATCTCAATAGACCGCGCCTAAAGAAAAAAGAAAAAGGGGACTGGAAAGATTGGAACGAAAAGGGAGGGGGGAAGGGGCAGCTAAAAAATAAAAAGGGGGTAGGGGGGCAAAACAAAAAACCACCGCGGCATTTATTAGCGAACCGATGTCGTCGACAACAACAATAACTTCGCCGTCCCACCAAGTCGTCGTTGACTGCACCGGATGTTTTGAAGGGGTAGGCTCTGGGGTCTGACTAACGTTCCTGAGTGGGGGGCACGGCGGAACGAGCCCCTGCTGCGAAGGCGCCGGCAGGGGGCGCAGGTCAGCAGGTGCGAGTGCCCGCGGTCAGCCCCCGGCTCCCGTCGCCTGTGCGCAGCATGCGGTTCTCAACCACGTTCGTGGGGATCTCCTTGCGATCGTAGACCTGCCCCAGCCAGGCGAAGAAGTCGATGAACCAGGTGGTGGTGTTGATGCGGCATCCCAGTTCGCTGGTGCGGTAGTCGTGTGGGAAGGTGTGGTGGTAGTTGTGGAAACCCTCGCCGTGGGCGCCCACGATGGTCACCAGGTTTTGGCGGGGGCTAATGTGCTTGTCGTACGGCCGGTTACCCCAGGTGTGGGCGGCGCTGTTCACCAGCCAGGTCATGTTGAGGGTAAAGCAGTACCGCGTCAGGGAGCACACCAGGAACGAGTACCACAGGGACTCGCCCCAGAAGTACCAGGGCCCCAGGGCGGGCAGCAAGAAGCAGGTGAGCACCATCAGCGGCATGTAGTACCTGGGGAAAGAACAGTGCCTCGATCAGCGAGGGGCCTCCCTCCTCGGAAAGGCATCAACGATTTTGCACTACGTGTTGAGGCCAGCGTGCTTTCCACAGTGCTGCAGTCAGACGCTGTTGCAAGAGCACGAGTCTTTGTCATGCGTCTCATTCGCACGAGCTTACACGCAGAGGAAGACACCAAATGAAGTCACTACTTCGCGAGAGTATATCCGTCGCCGATGCAACACTAAGGAAACTACGCTAGGCCTGACAATGTAGCATGAAACAATTGGCACCGGGTATAGTCAAGCCAACAAGTGAGGTGGGAAAACTTTTCTAAAAATTTCTAGAGAGCAGATACGATTTTCTTTTATATGCAGGGGGCACACTAACCAGAAGTGCTACGTTAAACTCGGGATGTGCCAGCTTCAATTGCCCGAATGTACAGTTGCCAAACATAGGTTAAAGGCTAAGTAGAAGGCTGGCGATAATTCAAACTCCAATATTTCATACTTATGGTTAATGGAAACAAATTTCAAAATTTTGGTTCTCCAGTTATGTTTTAATGTAATCATAAGCCGCCTAATTAGAATGGCGTTTTCGTGCAAGTCATACTTTTTGTTTTTGCGGCCCCGTTGAGTGCGCTTCTTTCCGAGCACCGGTGCACTGCAGGGAAGCGACTCCCGTTGCTTCTCCGCAGTGCACCGGTGCCTAGTAAGAAGCGCACTCAACGGGGCTCAAGCTGGGCACACGAGCTCTGAAAAGGGTCACAACGCGGAAATTTCCTCAACAACTTGCACGGACGCTGTGAAGTGGCGGCACATCATAGGTCCACGTCACAGCATCCGCGCAAGTTGCTATGAAAACTGCTGCGCGGCGCCCGTTTTCACCGCTCATGTGTCCACTGTTCAATAGTCCACATTAGACAACTTCTTGGCCTGATGAACAAACTTAATTTTGTTTTGAGTTGTAGCGAGCTGTCTAAACAGTTTACTGTAAACAACATTTTTGAGTGATAAATAAACTTATGCCATTCATTTCACAAATGTTTCGTGTGTGGCATACCTGCTCATGATCGGTAGGCCTGTGTAGAGGAAATAATCAGATACAGTAACTGCTTTGTATGTGCAGTCATTCATACGGCAAGTCATAATTTTATCTTGCATCATATTTAGATAAATTTCTGATAATTCAAACAAAAGTTGTGGCTTCCTGGAGTTTGAATTAATAAGAGTCTACAGTAGCTTTGAAGGCCTCCAATGGCATCTAACAGAAGAAAGTTGAATTATGACAAGGCTGTGGAGTGCACGAGTAAACTCACTCTCCACTTGGGCTTCGTTATATCTACCGCAACTGCTCATCGTGCTCATCAACAAACCACTGAAGGCTTTTCTTTGCAACTTTCAGCGCTGGTGGTACTACTGTGCGAGAATCACGCTCCCTAGCTTTTGGATAGTCAGCCTCAGAATAAAGGTATCTTTCCGACACTAAGGAGATATGAGGTAAGACTCTTATATTGCTCGTATTTCACAAAATTGGAATTAGTAATTATGCGTCGTAGACACAACCTCATACTGCTGTTCAACGACAATCAACCAGGTGCGAATATAATTGCGAGTATTTTGCCTAGATAGAAATGAATAGCCACTTAAAGTGAAACAAGAGGCTTCCATTGATGACTGAGCTTAATCAGTACAGATGTCTGCTTCAAAATGCTGACGATTGGGAAAATAAGACAACTAACAAACAAAAGAAAAACCTAACTAGTCGAATGATAGATTTTATCAAAACCAATATTTAACGTCAGCAAACTGCTGTCATCCAAGGCTAAGATATCTCCCTTTCTAGATTTTATTAAAGGGACAGTAAACATGATTTCGAGGCATTTAAAAAAATGGCCCCATTGTCTGCTTCCACACAATATTTCGCATTTGAGAAAGAAAGCAAACGTCTTTATTGGTGCACCTTCATCTGCTACCTTAAAGAGTAACCGGTTTGGATCAGAAACTCATCAGCCTTCAACTCATTTGCTACATGCTCACACCCAGGAAATAACAACCAAAAAATCTCTTTTGCGTCCCATAATTAATTCTCTGAAAGTTGTAAAAGCTTGGTCTGCTGGGCAAGTTGGTAGTGGACATTCATATTAAAAATAGCGCAAAAGAGACGGGACAAAAAGACGAAGAAGCAAACAGGACAAACGCTTGTTTGTCCTGTGTGCTTTGTCCTGTGTGCTTCTTCGTCTTTTTGTCCCGTCTCTTTTGCGCTATTTTTAATATGAATGTCTCTGAAAGTTGATTCTCTGAAACTGCTTTACCAAGCTTATGCACCCTCGTCCACACCTTTGTCTGCTTGCGACACACGCGAAGTTAGGTGTCAACCATTTTCCGATACGTTATCAAGGCCAGTGTAGCTTTCGCAGTGCTCAGACTTCGTCAAAGTTAGTTGTGCAAGCGCATGCAAGCGGGATGCAAGACGAAGCCACGCGCCCTCGCGGCAGTGCCTCATGAGCTCCGCTAACCTCGACAGCACGGCACAAAATAGTCGACGCTGAGCATAGACGTAGGTGTCTGGCAAAGGTCAAGGGTGCACCTACTTCCTCTGGAAGCGCACCACGGGGTCGGCCATGAGGTCACTCAGGTCAATGGTCTTGCCCTTGGAGATGACGTCCGGGTGCTTGCGGCACAGCAGCCAACCCACGTGCGAGAAGAAGAAGCCCCGGGTGGCGTCGTGGGGGTCCGCAGTCGTCTCCGAGAACTTGTGGTGCACCCGGTGGTCTCGGGCCCAGTCGTAGATGTCGTTCTGCGGGGCAAGAGAAACAAAACCATTTGAGCCGAAAAGTTTGATGCTACATAAGGAGGTAGACTAAATAAACGAGTTAGTCGAGTGTGAGTCGTCCCGTCTGTTCTCTGTTCCTTCTAGGTTTTGGTGTTTCCTTTCTAGCCTAGTCTCGGGTTAATTCAACATGGTTAAAATTCACCAACTTGCCTGCACCCTATATTTAAGCAGAGGTCACACTGTTAATTCGTCATACAAAAGGCAGTCTGCAGACAGTTCATGCAAAGACCACCTGCAGATACGTTCAAACACGTATGAAGCAAACACAAGCTTTTAACATGCTTGAGACGCAGATAGTTTCGTCATCATGTTTGCAGCGAACGACACGTCTCTCGTGCGATGTACGACCGGTGTGACTGTGGCTTTAGGGTCCCCGATCTGTATATGAAAAAACTTGGATGTGCGACACTTTTGTGCTACACTTTCTGGGAACACTTCGTTTTTATGAGACCTGAGTTATGGTTGTGAAAAGTCTTCCAGTGGATGCAAACAGTTGTCCCTAGTGTACACTGTCCTGCCACAGTGAGTGCGAGGCCACATACCTAGATGGGGAAATTAGTGGTGCGACGGAACGAAGTGCAACCGTGCACAAATGTTTGCTTTTTGGATCCCAGTCACCACATAGCACGGCGAGACCACTTTGGAGATATAATACCTTAAAAAAAGTGGGCGTCGGGCGCTTGTTGGGTTTGAGTACGAAAAATGCAGAAGGGGCGCACGACTGGGTGGACTTTGCCACTTTACGCCGGCGTGTTTAGAGAAGCGACATGGAGCAATTTGGTTAGCTTGGTAGGCTTAGAAGTCTGAGGTGGGTGCTCAATATGTCCTTCGCTTATTTTTTAAACATTTAAAAAATAGTTTATGGGTGCTTATTGGGACGGGGGCACACGCTCGGTACTTCACAATACACGCAAAAAATCTGTTTCATGGAATTCAATTACCCTACTACAGCGAGACTAACATTGCAGCTAAATGTAGGTACAGTCATGTCTCGATAGTATGGATATCCTGCTATACGGACACCACTTTCGGGGACAAACTGGAAAAATACATGCATTTTTGTCTCGTTCTCATGGACAAATCACATTATGGACGATTTTTTACAGGAACGGAGGTGTCAATATTAACGAGACATTACTGTATAGTACTATTCTTCACACTCCCAAAGCAGAACTGCTGCCAAGAGCCGTGCAAAGTGAATGGTTGGCAGCCAAAGAAAACAGCCATTGGGTTGCCTAAATTCATAGAGTGAGCAATCTGAGCACGAGGCAGGTGACCCACCTGGAAAGCCATGGTCTGGAAGAGCATGAGCAGAATTCTGTAGGGAAGCTTGGCCTTGTACGAGCGGTGAGACCAGAGTCGGTGGGAGCCAGCAGTTATTCCGATGCCAGAAATTGTGTAAAGGATGTAGGCTGTGGGAAACAATGCCACTCTGTTGGCAACAGTGGGCGAGAGAGGAAACGCTACACCCCCGACGCAATACTTCGTCTCACTGTAATTCGACAAAGGGGCCAAACGGCAAAGATTCTGGCCCCAGTGAGCCAATTGGCACGTTGGAGGGAGACATGTGGCTGTAGCCACGGGTGGGAGTAAGAGGAAAGCAGCTTTTGAACAAATTTTGAATGACAAACTAATTTTCTAGGGGGAGAAAAGGGACACCTGGGACGATGCACAGAAAAGGTAAGAGGAGAGTTCCTTCTTCCTTTTTTTATGGTTGTTTACGCTCTTGCACCTGTACCTCTGGTAAGAGCGATCACGTGCTCCATCCCCGTTGTTCCGATTGGCTCAAGGAGGTCATAGTATTTGCTCCTAGCCAGGTTACAGTGAAACGAAGTAGAGGGGAAAAAAAAAGCTCAAACGAGATCTTTTTATGCAGGAGTTAGAGTGACTGAGTAACTGCCTAAATCAGTTATTCTGCAATTGGCTTTACCCAAGTGAATCTTTAGGTGGCATATCGTAAACACTGTGATGCTACAAACTTTTGTCAAACCTGAGGGTCGACTGGTTCGGCGAACCTTCAAACGTCTGGCGAAATTCGGCAAAGCCCAACTTCTAAAAGTATTCAAAATTTTGGGAAAATGATATTTATAAAATAGCCCGTTTCAAATTGTAGGGAATAGCAACGAGTAGCTTCATTCGATTTACTTGCACCCTCTGCACTGGTGCAGAAAAGTGTAGAGCAGCGGACTTTCGGTATGTGTACTGGGATACGACCGGAAGTACACAGCCCTGCACTTTTGTGCACCGGTGCAGGAGGTACAAGTAAATCGAACAAAGCTTGTGTTTATATATTATAAAAGCAAACATATAAGCTTTTAATAGTAGTTTCGTAAATTGCTTCACCCCAGCAACACCAGGCAGTGCCAGCTCATTTTTAACCTATGCGCTTTTGCATAAGTGTCGAACTTGTGTCGGTTTCCGATGTAAAAGTTTCAAAAAGTCGAACTTGATCAAACCGGAACCTCAGCAAGTTTGTGACATCCGGCATTTTAAATGTATGATGGTTTAAAGAGCCAATGTTGCTCAAGTCAAGCATTGATTATGAAGTAGCAAGAGCAACATAAAAATAAGAGAAACTAGCAAACAACTATATGCATAAATTACAAGACCGAAAAACAACCCTTGACTCCACAAAAGTATTTTTAGCAGAGGGTTATCAGTCTGAAATCTTAAAAGGAAGTTGAAGAGGTTCTTAAAAAAAAAAATCGATTTAGAGGTGAATTTTAGAGTATTTTTCTCTTGTGAATCTCAATATCACATTTGTTTTTCTCGAAGACGTAACTAAACACGAGAAAACACGAAAAACCTCCGGCCAGTCGTTACATCATACTAGGATCTTTTGGCCGCCAAGTATGTGTCGCTTGTGTGGGAAGCGCATATAATTGCAACCTTGCCAGGTATATTCCCCTGCACCGACACCAGTCACGACGTCTTTTTCTGACCTTCTTGAGAATAGCAAGAGTGTGCGTGCATAACTTTCATAGGCGCTGATGATGCGCAAGAGCGGAGATTCCTAAAACTCCTAATATGACGTCACGCTCCGGAAAAAACTTCAGCGGTACTTTGAAAATGATTGCGTGCAGCCTCCGTGCACCGAATTGAAAAATAATCTCGATGTTCGTGATCCTAGAGGCTAAATGAAGACGGTTTAAGTGTTCTTCCTTAAATACAGAGCAGCTTCAGTTTCCCTTTAAGATATATCTGCTTTGTCTCCCGTAACACAGGTACATTCTGTTTCTCTGTATCCAAGCAAGGCATTAGAAGCTCACTAGCAGTGCCCTCTGTAGTCTTTATCTTCTTACTATTACTACACTACTGTTCAGTTCATACAATATTTGACAAAGATATGTTTAAAGTGAATTACGAGCTGAGAAACCTATGTATATACTCGAGTTTCAGAGAACACTTTTCAAAATTGAAGCGCATCTTTGATCCGGCAGCCCTGCCTCCACGTGGCCAAAGCACGCAGCTACCACCTTGCTTCCCCTCATAGGATGGAAGCAAGTACAGTGCACATGCATTGTGCACTTTAGTTGCGGGTGGCAGGACCGCGCTCCAATAGGAAACCTAAAAACTTGTCCAAATTTAGTGTTTTTTGTAATGCCGTAAGATGCTGTAGGTGCCTCATACATTTCTAAAATGAGTGGATTTAATGGTTTTTGGTGATGTTCAGTAAGTTTTGAATTGAAGCCCTATGTTTACTTTTACGGATTGAAGTTAATTAGTAAGTTTTAGTAAATTATTCAGCTAATTAGTATGTTTTTTTGCAGCCCCTGGCATCTGCCATGACAGGCAGTTTGTTTTCATAAAGGGTTCCTTTTTTCTCGGCCACCCTATTTTATAACTTTTTGAAAATATTTGCTGACACATTCAGTATAATGCAATTAAATCATGGCTAAATTATGTTCTACACAAAAAAAAAAAAGGAACTGCAAGCTAATCACAGACTAATCACGGAATAAAAAGCATTCTGGCAAAGCAAACTAAAACTAAAAGCTACACAGAGAAAGTCTTGTGGCAAAGCCACGGCACCCTTCAATTCACCACAAATGTTCTCCATCCTTTTCTTGAATATTATCTACAATTTTCATCAACATCACAAATCCTTTTTAGTTTCCCTTCCCTAGACTTTGCTTCGAGACGACATAGTGAAAGACAAGAAAAAAGGTACTACATTCAAGAAATGCTGAAAATGAAGAGGGAAATGGCACTGACCGGCAAGAATCGTCTTCCACTGGGCAGCAGTGAAAATAATGTAAAATCCATAGAGGGAGATGAGGTGCAGGTAGCCCATGAGTATCACATTGCGCCACACTATTTGCGCCTTGAAGGGCTTGGTTGCAGGTGTTGTGGCAGAGGCCGGCTCTGCCATCACTGTTTTCGTCATGGTCGCCATGGTCATGCCCTGCAGCCAAAAACAAAAAAATGTCGGGCATTGAGTAACAAACCTACGGGCCCACTGGCAGGTCAATATACACTAGCAACGTGCACCTCAAGAACTGCAGGGCATTTTTATGCGCTATTCGGGAGTAAAAAAGATGTCTATAAATAAACCAATAAACCGAGTGCAATTAAACTTATCAAAAAGGTGTTTTTAGGTGGTGCATTTGTCATACCTAAATTTCATGAGCGGAGGTTCTAAAAAAAAAGAAAAAGAAGCCTAAAATGTTTTTTGATTCTCTTTCCTATGCGCAGGGAGAAAAAAAGGTAAAAAGTGCCTGGTTGATGCTGCCACTCACAAGTGGCACCACATAAAGCAAAAACGTAAACTTCTGTGAGATGAACACCTCAAAACCTATACTCATAAGACTTGGGTACAATGAATGTACCTCCTAGAGACACTTTTGTGAAAAAGTTTGATTGCACTGAAATCATCAGTTTATTTATACAAATATTTTTATGTACAAACGGCGCTCAGAAACACGTTGTAGATCATGAACTCAACTATGCCAAAGGCAGGGGAATGAATTCTTGCAAAGCATACCTTGCAAAACCTACTCCAATAGACCCCTTTGGACATTCAGTCTCGCTACCTCTGTAACTATCATCACCAAAATGTATATTATCTGTACATGTTAATGGCCGCCTTTTGATAGTTGATGAAGGAAGACTTTGAAGACGGGCACCGATGCAGAGCCTCAACATTCCAGACGTCAATCCGCTGCAGTGTTGGATGTCAGCGTAATGAGACTCTTGCGGAGAGCAAGTCATCTGCTTCTTGCGCAGGAGTTGCGGTGACACCAGAACGACACCGAGTTCTGATTGGCTCTAATTGAAGGATAGTGGGTAGATCTCGATGCTAGATGCTTCGAGGTCTACCCACTATTTTTTTCAATCAGCCAATTAGAGCTCGGCATTCTGACATCATCGCAACCCCTGTGCAAGAAGCAGACGAACGTGCGCTCTGCATAAGCTTCTGTGCGCTACACATTTGAGGGTGTCAAGGAAACTCTTAAAATGTTCGGCTTAGACATGCCCAGACAGCTCACGACAATAAAATGTGGTGCATATTATCAAGCATTTTACTCAAGTAAATGTATTGTAGAGAGTGATAGTTTGTTACACCATTAAAACTGAAACAAATAAAAAAAGAGAGAACAGTACACCAAATAACACCGCAAGTTTCGTGCATCTGCTGTTAATGAATAGGTACTATAGATTTGAACTTCCATTAGCATACAAATTAAGACTGGTATTCGAGCCACTGAATTTCTAAAAGGGTCTATTGCTGCGGTTACCTCAAGGCAGTGTGATTTTAGTCGTCTCATTTCGATGTGGTCGTTCACAATATTTATTGATATGACTAGTCGACCTCCCCTTTTCACGCAACATATTACCGTAAATACTGACAAACTTGACTCACTGAGCTAGTAAAAACAAAAAAAACAAAAAAAAGGACGGTCCCAAGGGATTGATTCTTTAGGCTGCGTTGCTAAGATCTTTTGATGGCCTTTGAGATAATTGCCATATGACGTCACTCCAAATGCTGTTCACGTACTTGTCAGGAGGGGGCCACCGTTTTCTATCGTTTGCCCAGAACAAAATCATTGTCTTCGCGTCTGTCCGCGTTCACCGATTTGGTGACGGATCTGCCGTTTCCTTTCTGCAATCATACATACTCTGGCAGTGCACCAAAAAAAGCAACTAACAGCGCTAATACGATGTTTTTTTGTTTTTTTTTTTAATTTTTACTGAGAAATTGTTTGCGGCGATGAAGGCAGAGTTATAAGGTAAAGTGCCAGCGCTCACGTACCTTTGCGCAAAAAAAAAAAAAAAAAAGACAAGGGAGAAAAATTGATGTCATTTGAGAAACGCGGGCGGCATTCTAAATCGCAATACATCCAAGACACAAAATAAAAAAAAGAAAGAAAATAAAAATGCCGCGCACATTTCGATTGCCAGACGTCGCGAGCACTGTCGCCATATCCAGGATTGCGTAATTTCCGCGGCACTGTAGGGTCATCAGGGTCATCGACAGGCAGGTCTCGCTTGCCCATGCGTCGTGCAAACAAATCGCAGTCCTAGATATCGCATGCCAGAGCGGCCTTAGGTTGCTCCCACACCGCCGTTCTGAACACAGTTGCACCCGCCCGACTACAGCATCCGAGCATCAGACGACCGACGCAAGTGCGGGGTCGCTTTCGCCACATCGCACCTCGCCGACAACTCGATCGCGCGTTCAACTGCTCGCCCGTGGTTCCGTATAACCGAGTGCTCGGATGATTCCTTCGAACGGTTTGTGTTCGAAATGAAGCGTATCATCGTCAATGGGGTTCACGAAGTACAGCGACGTGCTGTGCGGCGTGCACACACAACAACGGCGAACTGCCACGCAAAACGCGGTTGCCATGCGGGGAAGCCCGACCCGATTTCTTTCTCTCGCGGTCGTGACAGCAACGTTAACACCGTGGCATAACTTTGCCTGCCCTCTCTCTCCCCCCCCCCCCCCCCCCCCCCTTAAGACAAATAAAATAAAACAAACAATTTTATGTTAGGAGAAACGTACCAGTAATGCGCTCAACCGGAGACAAGACAAACGGGTCGTCTGTTTGCAGGACGACGTTATATTGCAAAACGTCAAAAATAAGCACGGATAAGCGCAGTCTCTTTCAGCGAACCATTCGCCCTAATAGATTGTTTTCTACGGCACTGTATCTGGAGTTTTGCCAATCCGAGAGTCAGTCTGAGCTCGCCGCGCGAGTTATTTATTTTGCTACATTCCATGAGAGAAAGAAAAAAAAAAAAAAAGAAAGAAAAAGAACGGGTGTGGGCCTAAAAGTACGCGCCGAAACATAAAAATCACATGTCGACGCGACTGAGTTTACAGAAACTGCGTTTTCGGAGGAAAAAAAAAAAAAAAAAGAAAACGGTTTGTCAAAAAGCTAAAATTGTTGCTGCGTGGCGCAGGTTCAATGAATGAGATCGGGGCACGTTCGGGGGGAGGGGCGATAGGCTCACGAAGTGACAGACGCAAGGCACACGTTCCCCCGGCGCAGCGGCATCTCGACGACGTGTACCTACCGCGGTGACAAGTCCTAGCGCAGAAACTGCAACGCCAGCCTGTGCGATATCGAATCTGCCAGCCAAGAAAGGGAGATGGCATCGATCAAAATCATTCCTAATGCGGAGGGAGCCCTAAACCGACGATTGACGCGAGCAACCGGTGGTTCCGATCGACCGCCGCCGCGACCGCCGTCGACCGAGGTCTCAGGGGGGTATCCGAGTCGTAAGTGCATCCCGGGATACAAGGGAAGACCGAGAAGCGTCCACATCCAGGAACCGTGCGCCGACGAACCGGCGTTTAGAGAATGCACGAAATGGTCGCTTGATCGCCCCCATACAAGTAACCCGATTCCTACATGGCAGCCGGTTGGCCCAGCCCGTAGAACCACACTCGCCTGTGAATAATCCGCCGTCGGTGTTAGGTATCCAATGTGAAGGCTTCCAGTGCGCTGCCACGACAGTTATACTCGGTCTGTGTCACCGCTGGCGTCCGTCCAGAAAAAGAATGGATAAAAAAATCACGCGGCCGTAGACTGACCGGCCCGCCGGCGGAAAAAAAGATGCCGGGAATCACGTGACGCGAGGCGTGTGAGCACCCCTATTGGTCGACGCGATTCTATCGGATGTGACGTTGCTCCGGAACTCCTTTCTCTCGCGCGATCTCCTGAGCGAGCAGATGACGCGCCAGACGTCTGCTGGCACGCGCGATTTTGCCCCCGTTCCCCCTTCCCCCATCAACAGTCGGGAAATCCTTCGTCGTTAACGGAATTTTTCGGGGCAAATACTTTAATAATGCTGGCCGGCGTCTAAAATATGATACACGATTTCCCCGACCACCTCGTTGTTTGACGACTCGCGGAACCAAGAATACGTCGAGCGAACTCGAAAACACCGTCGCGTCGTCTGCTAGCAGAATGCTCCCGGTAGCAACGGGTGGCGTGATGCGTCTGGTGGCGTGAGCCGATCAGACGATGCTGCGCTCTCGCTTGGCCGCGTCTGCGGTCGCTTGCTTTGCTCTTTTTCTTTCTTCGCGTTTTACTGGGCGTCCGCTCACGTCTCAAGCCCTCAGCCGCGAACATGAAAATAAAAATAAAATAATCGCGCAAATGAACGAGCATCGAACCACAAACACTCCCGCAACGGGCGCGCAAGTGTCGTCTCGCGCCGGCAGTCGGTGGTTTGTTTCCGTTTTTCCTGGATACGACATGAACCGCAGGAAAGTGTCCGCTCGCAAGTTGTCGTTTTCCCTGTCCGCCACTGAGCCGATCCGGGCGGGGCCTCCGATGGTGCTGATGCAACAAGTGCCGGCCGGTGTGTGGGCTTAGTTCCCGCTTGGCTGCATCAGCTCCGCGCGTCGGGTTGATAGCGACTCAGGGCTCGCATGTCGCGACTGTCGGAGCGCTAGCATTTCGCGCCCACAATTAGACAACCGCAGGAACTGCTTTAGTCAGTGCGTGGAATTTTGTTAATTTTAATCAAAGCTGTAAAGGTATTTTATTTTCTCGGATGAAGAAAGAAAGAAAAGCGTCGTTGTTCGGACGGACATTAGTTCTGCGAAACAGTTTTTGCTGCACCAAATTCAATACTCCGACATGTCCCCTGACTTGCAGAAGAGGTAGACAGAGATGTTATGTCGGGGTTAGGCCGAAGACCAGTTTTGGCAAAACTCGTGATGACAGTCGTACGGAAATGTGCTACTGGTATGGCTTGAGCCCTTCGAGAAATTGAGAGGTTCCCACACTCAAATTTTAATTATAAACCCTAATGACGCAATATCATTATCCTGTGACATCGCAGAGCAAGCGAACACGTTTTTTTCGTTCCCCGCTCGCCGCTCCGATTGTTTCGAAATACCGAATGGAACAAATGAAGTATACATCTACACACACGACGTCGCTTATTGATCTTTTAATTGAAGGTATTATCATTATTATTGTGACCTCCACTTCAGTGCTGTCAAGTTCCTGAAAATTTCGCCAAACTTTAGGTTTAGCGAAACCCACCAAACCTCCACAGAAAGAAAATAAATATATATAACTTTTGAAAATCCTAGGCAATCTCTTCATTTTAGCGAACGTCGGTTTAGAGACACCTGTTTTAAACTCCGTTTAAATCAAAACGCGACGAGACTCATTTTAGAGAATTCAACACAATTAACCGAACTCGGCTGTAACTCGTTCCAACGTTGGCTCATTCGGCCGTTGTACCTGTGCCGACGACGTCTAACCCGAGCCAGCCAGCAAGTCAGTTACTTGGGGTCTTTAAGCGGCCAGCGTATTCGAAAAAAAAAAAAAAAAAAAAAAAAAAAAAAAACCTTTTGGAGCGCGGTTGACAAATTTTCATGCACGTCATATGCCGTGCTGTTTTCGCAACAAACCTTTTGCATCTCGCCTGGTTTACGCGGGTAAGGAAAGGGAAAAGGGGGGGGGGGGGGGGGCGAAGCTGAGGTAAACACGCTTCGGTGAATCACGCCTTTAGGGGCTTCCAGATTTGCTTACGACGGCAGAACGGATTCACTAAACAGAGAAGACATTGCGGAGAGCTCAAACTCAGTCAGAACGTAGCCCCAGCCGTTCGAGCAAGATGCCAAAGTTTCAGCACCAACCGTTATCTTATTTAAAAGTTATAAGCGATTTTCTGAAAATTTCAATGAAAAAAATGGAGCCGATTTCGCCCGTTTTCGGTTTCTGGCGCCCATATAGCTCCATGTATTCGAGAGCTCCGTCGGCCGCCATTTTTCCATTGACACTTTCAGAAAATTGCTGGGGGCCGAAGGCGTGGGGATAAATGAAAAGCAAAGAAAAGAAAACCGTTGGTGAAAACAGCAAGAACGGACGGTTTATTATATATATATATATACATGGATGGGCAAAACACATGCAAATATGTATCGAACAGGGGCGGATCCAGACCTCCATTTTAGGGAGGGCGGTTCCTTGGTGTAAAACGGCGGGGGGGGGGGGGGGGGGGGGGGTGTTTATATGTTTTTGTGAAGTTATCGTTTTTACTAAACTCTGATAACATAATATATATCTTGAGAGCTTTTGTATCGGTTTACCTGTCGGGGATGAATTCTTTGAAGTAAAACCTTTCGGGTGACCACGCTAGAGGTAAGTATCTAGAAAGAACGCAAGGAATTTTGTAGTTCATAGGAAACGGGATTACTCCATTCGCGTGGCAGTGCGCTAGAAATAGAAAAAGAAGTTTAACTACTTAGGATGAATGTTTGGTGCTATAGCGGCTGTGACAATTGCAGACAGTGTAACTTGATGGCTCATATCCCCGGCAGGCTACAACTTTTGGGCCCTTTTGCTTGAATATTTTTATATTCTCGTTACACCCGCAGAGCATGTACGGAGAGCCAACCTTTGCCAACTATACGGAGGAAGTTCATGCAGCTAATGACAATGCGAAAACGTTTTAATCTAAAACTCGGCTGTTCTTTGAGATTAAGCTTGGCATAATAGTTAGAACTTTATATTCAGGGCCAAAATGCAGAACGTGGTTTTAAAACATACTTTTCATTGTCGCCGGTTGCTTCAATGGAGCGAGTACGCTGCAAACAAGCGACAAAAATGGCCCGGCGGCTTCGACGCTGCTCGCGGCGTCAAAACACTGTTGACGCAGCGAGCGAAACGAACGCTGCCAGGCAAGTTCGTCGGTTGTTCGCCGTATATTTGGAATGTCCAGAGCGCAGCACATGCGGCATTGCCAACCCAAACTCGTGTTTTCACGTGTTCTGGATGCAACTCGAGAGAACGAAAGCGAATAATTGTTGAATATTTTTGAAAGCATGTTGCAGTTCGGCAACTCTAACTTTTAAACTTAGACAAGACCTTAAACCAGCAATGGATCCTTCCAAATTATATTCAATTGCACTTCGTCTGGATATTTTCTGTATGATAGGAACACTTACTTGTTTCTGGGTAGTTAGCTCATTCGTCAGGGTCGAGAGGACAGGTGCAGAAATATGATGCGGCAGAGCGCTTGTCCGATCGTCGAATCTCAACTGGGCTAAAGGCCGATCACGACTGCAGCATGGATGTTTGGGAGTCGGTGTTCACTCGAACGGGCACAGGCGCTGTCTATTTAGTTTATGTATAGTCGCATCTTTGAAAGGGCTCGTTTTCCCCAAGTCCCTAGGTAAGGAATTCGAAGCCGCAGTTGCAAACCAGCAAGCCGCGCCTCTGTTCCGTTCGACACACACATATTCGCTCCTGCAAAGCCGCGCGAAAGCTCTACCGTCAATCCACAGAAGCCGCGTTTAACTCGAGAAGTAAAGACGGCGCCAAGGGGAGACAAGGGATAGCGGGCGCCTTTCCTAAAATATGTCCCGCCACCCTAAGTTGAAACGGCGTTGTATACAAATAAATGCCTACGGCGTCGGCTTGAGGACCCCGTGTAAGAAGCCTCCAGCCTTTAGAGTGCTCGTACCTTTTATCTTTCTTTTATTAGCTTCCCGCCATGAGAAATCGTACCGCAGGCAGTACGAAGCCCATTAGTATAGTCTACATTAGTAGAGGAAACATCTCCCCCTTCTGGCGCTCGTCGGCTTCTTTCTGTATTCCGCGCTGCGGCGCTGATCCTCAGTGAGGGATGGAGGCGAGGACGAAAGCGGGCTTATGTTTACGCCAAGGTCGTGGGGAAGTCCGGAGCGTCTTCAGGAGAAGCTCAGACCCAGACTACACTGTACCCAGAGCCTTTGCTTCCTCTCTCAGTTGAGGAGAAAAGCAATTGGTCACCGGGTTGTACAAGCTGCATCCCCCCCCCTCCCCCTGGAACGTCTCCTCCTAGTACGTCCCCTCCGCACTTCCCTAGGCAATGAGCACACCGTGCCAATAAGATACCTTTAGTGAGCGCGTGGGCGACAGCCTCTCAAAGCAAGCCAAAAAAGACATGCCAAAAGACAAGCCCAGAACCACGAAGAAACCATCAAACGAAAAGTGATGAAAAGGCGGCCGCTGGAGAGGAAGGATAATCCGCTGTGTATAGGATCGCACCCTTGAGGAAGGCTGCTTGGCGTCTGCGTTTGGGAGCTTTCAGGGCACAAATTTTTCGCAGACAACCTCCAAAGAGAGAGAGGGAGACAGAGAGAGAGAGAAAGGGGACTAGATATGTTGAAGGTATTTTCCCCCCGTGCTCGACGTGCTGGCCTTGTTTGGAAGTGTGCCTGCAGTCGAGGACCCTGATATTTGGTCCGCCTCCCCACTGTCTCTCTACTTCAAAACTACTGGCGCCGTCCCTGTCGGGAAGACGTACCGTGACCTTGACGGAGATAAACCCCACTTTGGAAGCGCCCAGCAGGCGCGTCCACCCACCGCTGTTTTAATCTTTTGTCCCTCGCGTCGATTGCTTACGTTTTTTCTTCGAGCTGACGAAGAACCCCGGGGGGGGGGGGGGGGGGGGGGGGTTGCCTGGCGAGGCGTTTGGGGGGGGGGGGCGATATCTCCCACCGCCCCCCCCCCCCTTGGATCTGCCACTGGTATCGAAATACAAATACAAAATACTTCGTCAAAAACGTATTTAATTACAAATCTCATTACATTTCCAAAAAAGCATTTAATTACAAGATACAAACACAACCAAATGTATTTGGTCTCCCTCCAAATACTTTTCCAAATACATTCCTCAAAATTTGCATCAGCGACTTCAGGGCACCTGCAAGGGATTTCTGGGTATCTCATTTTAATTTTGCATCACACACTCGGGAGTTAGTGCGCGAGGCTCTAGTAACGTAATAGAAATATAATAATAAAAAAAGTGATCAGCTTGGACGTAATAGGTGAAAAAGGTACAGAGCTTCAATCAGCTTTTTTTGTCGATTACACTTTGGTGTAGACCAACAAGAACCGAGACGACCAAGACGCGCAGCGCTAGCTAGAGAATTTATTTTAGTTGCAACTCTCACCAGTTACGAAAATCTGGACGACCTGCGTATTTATAA